CCCTTTGACAGGTGCTGTAATCAGTTCAGTAAGAGGTAGGTCAACGCCTGTACGCGAGCGAAAGTGTCATACAGTATTTTTAAGCATTAGAATTTTCGTATTTGCATGACAACCCTATCACTTTCTGATGGGAGAGTTTTTACTCCCCGAGGAGGAGAGAAATTTTACTCCTTCGTGATGGAGTAAATTCGCTCCTTTCCCAGAGTGAAAGGGGGGTGAAACTGGAGTTAGCCGTTTCACTCACTTTTTCGAGAAAAATCGCTCCCCTTTTTCTAAGAGTGTGCTACGGTTTTTCACACGGCTATTTGAGTGCAATTAACACCAACTTTTCTTCCAGGATATTTGGACTGATTCTGCACGCACTTTCCTGATTCCATTCTCCGGTGAGGCTGTTGAACTAAACCTAACTGTAAAGCCGTCCCAATAATATATGCCTAAGATTAGGATTCGTTACTCTGCTTAGCCCCTTTAGCTTCTTCTCTTTCCCTTACCTTCTCACTCTTACAACTTGTCCGAACTCCATGACAAATTCTACCCAAGCCGAGATCTCTACAGTATATACACCGATTTTCGTGTTTAACGTTACAGATTAACTTTCCTATTTACTTTCTAATATGAGAGAGAAGGGGACTAGTCAAGTTAGCTTCAATCCCGGATATACAGAACTACTCAGAAAGTGAAGGTCGTCGAGCTGAAAGTACTTACCAGTAGAAATAGCTTCATCGCTGGGCACGTACGTAAGGTATGACGCGGGTCGAGAACAATATTCTTAGAAACTGTGAAAGGCGAGGTCAGACTTTATACTGGGGCGTCCCAAGGTTCAGGCCTTGAACAATGCCAAGAGTATCATCATGAAAGCTCCGCATCCGGCAGGGGAATGGACCTTCGTTACGCTTGGAGGTCAAGGGGAGGGGAAATCCCCAGTGCATCCCCCACGGGGGATTCCCACCTTGTCCTCCGTTGCATTTCCAATGTGTGGGATGTCTAATTCCTCTTTAATCTTCCTCGCTGAGCCGTTCATGGCATTTCCTTATTTTATTATTATTCCGGAACTGATACTTCGTGATACTTCGTTTAAAAAAATCATGGTTTTCCATGATCTGACTTCACCCGTACTAATGCCGAATCTGGCAGGAAAGAAACGATGATCGCCGCATTGGAATGCCTAGCAGCTGTGACGATTTTACGGGCCGATTCAGCCGACCCTAATAAAACGTCCACCCCCCCTGTGGAATTGGAACCAAGTGAATGCCACCCTAAGCGCTATTTCCACCTGTTGAAGCGATGTCCACACGGGGAAAATCCACCGGGAGAAAAAATCCACCTGGCTCGAAATACATGGGCGCGAATGGATAGGTGGATTTCCATCAGGAGGGACGTCCACCTGGTTCAAAATCCACCCACTATACACCTGGTTGTTTGACAAGGTGGAGGGGGGGGGGACGGGGGGACGTTTTATTAGGGGAGTTGCCTTCTCTCAGCACTTAATCGGGGGAAATGCTGTACTTGGCCCATCAGTTCATCAATCTGCCAACCGAATTCAGTCAAATTCTGATATTCAGCAGCACTGGAGGCTTGTAAGCAGCGAAAGAGGTTCCAGGAGTTTCACAATATTGAATCAACAAAGGAACAATCTTTTATGTTGGTTTTCTTCATCCAAACATAAAAATCTCGTCAAGTGATGCAATTCGGTTCAAGCATTAACAAAACCAACATCCACTCATACTGAAGATGAACCGTGTCAAACTGGTCCCAAACTCGAATTTAATAGGCCCTCTTCGGAACAATCTAGCCTCCCTCTCCTCGCTAAACTACAGGTATTCTATCCAACTAGCGGCCTACACTCTTAGAAAAAGGGGAGCGATTTTTCTCAAAAAAGAGAGTAAAATAGCTTACTCCAGTTTCACCCCCCTTTCACTCTGGGAAAGGACCGAATTTACTCCATCACCGAGGAGTAAAATCGCTCCCATCAGAAAGTGATAGGGATGTCATGCAAATACGAAAACTCATATATACTGCGTGTCACATTCGCTCTCGTACAGGCATTGATTCTACCTCTGACTGTACTTTTACAGCACACGTCAGAGGGTGGACCACCTCTTATAGGTTCCGTGGAATGTCTGGGATGTCAGTCCCTTTTTACCTCATCTAATTGAGGCATAATTGAATAAAGTCCACAGACACATTCTGTATATTCTTTCTGTATGTTTCTAGTTTTCCTAAGCGGAAAAAAACCTTCGCGTCCCAAAAGGGTTCTCAATAGGAATATGAGCTTGTTCGTGGTCTGGACTCTATGAATATATCTTGAATATGTGGATAACAAATGATGAAGTGTCCGTTTTTAATGATTCCTATAATGAGGCTAGGCGAGACATATTGCAAGGTGCTAAACAATCGTGCGAGGGCGATTCCAGGGAAAGAGGGAAGGGAACTTTTGTGTACTGTGCGAAAAGCAAGACCCTTACCTCCATCTAGTGGCCTGGCGAAGAATTTCAAGGTGTTCACTTCAATACGAGCGATGAGGAGTATTTGGCGAGTAATAAGAGAGTAAATTCGAAAAGCTCACGTTGTGCTCACTTTCTACTCCCCAAACACTCGGAATTTTCTAAGAGTGTATGGCCGCAATTGCGGCCATACCCAAATATGTATACTTTTTTTGTCACGGCTCATCAACTTAAAGCCGGATCTTAGACTTAGCTGGATTCATGCTGCAAAAATGTAATCTTCAGTTCACGATGGAATATGTGGTATATATGCAACAAAGAGAAGCTGAGGCACAGCGTGCTAAACCTGCCAGTATGCGCAAAAATTACAATAGTTAGTTCGACATGAGTAAACAAATATTGTAGGAACCATGAAAGATCGAGAAATGCGACAAACGTGGGAATGAAACGGAAAGTTTTATTTCATAATGAACAAAAATAGTCCTGAGAAATGGATTTGACAATCAATGGGAGTACCTCTTCAAAAATCACTTTGCCGGTACAGGTGCCAACATCAGTTTTGGCTTCCTTCGGTCTCTTGATAACCTGAATCTTCCGTGAATCCTCGGAGGAAACTTACGAGCAGACAACGGACACGGCACTTCCGGAGTCAGTATTCACGCATGGGCGTGAATACTGGCTCCGGAAGTAGTAGTCCGACTCGATCGAATCTCTGTCCTCGAGGCGTGTTTATAGTAATACTATAAGCCAGTGTTTCCCAAACGGTGTGCCACGGCACATTGGTGCGCCGCCAGTAATGCTTAAGTGTGCCGTGAGATGTGACAGTTGACGAAAAAAAACTAAAATCCTAAAGCTAAAAAAAACTTGAAAACAAGAACGAACGCCATCTCTCAGTGGAAAACGAGCTTAGAGATGCACTATCACGCCTCGTATCAAACTGCTGTGTTCAGCGAAGCAAGCACAAGTTTCCCATTGAAAATAAGTAAATGGCTGGGTGTGCCGTGAAAGTTCAAGTGTCCTTATGTGTGCCACAAATAAAGAAAGATTGGGAACTACTGCACTAGAGGAGCGAGGTTCACTCTGTATTGAACTCAGTGAACGACTATAGTCGTTCAAAAATGCAATTAACCTTTATCGTACGAATGTGAGATATATCTGACGCTACAATTAACCTTCATTGGACGAATGCTAGATATATCTAACGCTATACACGAGTCACATCATCGAGCTCTTTTGGTCCTTGAATAAGCTTCTAACCCAAATGATATAACTGCCAAACCCTTGGGGTTTAAAAGGGTGGAATTGATTTGCGGCCGTGAGGGGACCGAAGTATTTAAAAATTCAGTAGGATAAAAGTTAAACCGTAAACCTATCAGTCTGTAGCACTGAAGCAACTGATAACTGTGAAGTTATGTCCTATGTACTCCAATGGAAAATTTTCATTTGAGATAAGGACCTTATCTACAGAGGACAGTCATTTCCTTCCTACACGAGGCAACCTCCTTGGTGAATCTGGATCCAATAGATTTTCTAGGAAGTGGGGGGGGGGGGGGGGGGGGGGGGGGGGGAGGAGGTGGAGGGGGGGGGGGGGGGGGGGGGGGGGGGGGGCCAGGAAGCGGAGCAAGGAAAGGCAGCCCTTGATATGAACGTCTGGTTCTGTGGTTTTTGAAGGTTTAGAGAAGTCTTTGAAGCTGGTCATCCCATCTGTGCTGTGACTCAATATGGCTGCTCCCGTGACTTGCTTTGCGTAAGGCATGCAGTGATTGGCAAAGAAATTTGTGCTACCTTTTACATTGTGATGGTTATATTTCTGGAACTAGAAGGAGGTGAATATATATCTCCCATGCAAATTGTTTCATTAGGCCCCACATTAAAGATGGTACGGTATAAGATAAATGATCACTGGGTAGGTTTTCTTAAGTTTTGAACTTCGTTTTGATTTAGAAGAGAAGGTTGCTCGTTGATCATGGTGACACGGTTGACTTTAAGTCACAATTAAGGGTTGAATATTTGACATTTTAAAGATGACTGTGGAACATGGGAAGTGAGAGGAGTTACTTTTTTTATTTATGAAAATACCCAGGAACTGTTGTGAACGTCCACTGGAGTCTTGCTACCCAAGACATGGAGAGTCGATGGAGTTAGTTTCAGGTTTGCAGAAAAACCAAGGAGTTTTTGAGAATGGCAGCATGAGTCTTGTCTTTTCAGATCATGGGAAGTAGGAAAAGTAGTGCAAGACCAAGCATCACTAACAGTTTCTTTGAACAGGATGGCTGTCACTAGTGCAGGAGGGCGGCATGACCAACAATATCATTTTTTGAAACTCAGATTAAAGGAATTAAGCACCTTCAGGGATTAAAGTGAGTGGTGAATATGTGATGTGGGCTGACTGGTTTTACATTTAATCCTATTCTCCCCCTTTTGGAGCCTATGAGTAATCACCAGTGATCATTAACCTTAGTCAATTAGGCCTATCCCATGTCATATAGGGCAGAACTTATATGCTAATAAAGATCCAGACTGACTTCCTGACTGAGCAACTCAATGTCTCACATGATTTATTCCAACTCAGGCTATCTGGCCTTCCAGGAGAGAGCAGTTTAGTGGAGGGATTGAGTGAAAACAATCCCTGGCAAGATGTCTCTTTTTAGAAAGATTTTAACTCCCAAACATGGGAAGAAGAGTAATCGAAAGGAGGACAGAGACAGTGATTCAGGAGACACTTCAGAAATCCAAGAAATTGGGTTACCTACACAAGTCCATCATGAGCTTCATGTGAAGTTTGACAAGGAAACAGGAAAATTGGTTGGTCTTCCTAATGAATGGCTACATGTCCTCAACAGCAGCAATATCAGGTAAAGGTTTAGGAACAAGAAGATTCTCCCTAAATCAGGAACAAGTCAAAAGCTGTCCATTTATCCTTTTTTTCTTGTCAGCCAATCTGAACAAATTCAGAACCCAGATGCACTTGTCCAAGCTCTGAAGTACCATATGTATTCTATGATGAGAGTGCCATTGGGTTTCAAGCCAATTACCACCGAAGAAACAATCAAGGAAGAAACAGAAGAAATAGACCGCCTTGCATTGGGTGAGTGCTTTGGAGATGGTTCTTTCTATTCATTTTATTTTGTGATGTATAAACTGTACGATCCATACATATCCATAGTTGACTTTTGAATTTCATGCACTTGAAGCTGAGAGAATCAGATAAAAATTCAGTTCATTCAATTTATGCCTAATTTGAAATGTGTCTTTTGCTTTTTGTTTGTGCCACTTCTCTTGTACCCTACAATCAAATTGGCTGAGTCTACAAGGGGTGAACCCAAAGTTCTGTCACACATAAAGACCATAAAGGAGAGGACTCATCTTGGTTGAATTATTGCTTCATTACTTGAATTTCTCCCAATTCATTGGATACACATGGCCCAACAATCCACCATCCTTTTTTCATTTCTCACAGATACCATTCCTCTGGATGTCCTTTGATATTGCAGTTACTTCTACATTCCCATATGCTGCCATAGTGTTATTTATAGAACTTGTTCTTCATGACCGGAAGCCAAAGGGACCAGGTATTTTATTACTACAATGGAATTTTACATAAAAATATTATTTCTCCTCGTATGGGAAATTTAGAGGCAGGAGTTCTCAGCATGGGATCCTGTCCATAAATTTTTTTTCTACTTGGTTGAAGTAAAAAGTTGGATCCTTTCTCAGAAAATTGAGTCATTTTCAGTCAGTTATTTGGAAGCTTGACAACCTTTTCTGTCACAGATTATTTTTCACCCATTTATTAAGGTTCTTGCATAATTCATAGTATTTACACAAACTTCTAATATCATTATTTTTATATCAACTAATTATCAATCAATTATACAATTTTTTGCATAGTTGCCATTGAATGTAAAGTAGTTGGTTGGAATCTCTGCCTCAGGAAAAGTATAGTCAAACTCAGTTATAAGAACTTCTGTTATGAAGTCATGGCCCAAAGCCCATAAGATAAACAATAACAATTCTGGCCCCAGACACATTGTGCCATGCATACACCTCATGAAATTATAAAAATGCTAAAGCACTTTCACAGCTTTATGTAAAAATATCTGCAGGTAAATTGGAGTGAGAAGTCTCCAAAATAGCTTGGTTTTTGAAGAAATTTCATTTCTGCAATTTCATCTCTATTGAGGTAATTCAGAACATAATGCCTGTGGGTTCTATAAAAACCTTCAAAGAGAATTGGGAAACCACAAACTATTATGACATTGACATTTGCTTCACTTCCTTTCATACAAAAATATTAATCAGTATGTCCTGATTTACCTTTTGTCCTTAATTACCCCTGCTAATTAGTTTTGGTTTCATTTAAAAATGCAATGGGACTTGTGGAGAGGGAAAGGGAATGGTAAAATTACTTGCTTACATTTAAAACTACACACCTCATTATCTGTACGGTTGACATTGAAAGAAGAAAAATAGAGATGTGCATGGGAAAGAAGGGATACTTGGAAGAATGACTTTCAAAGTTCTTCTATGGTAAGAATGTATCCTTGAAGTGTCATGCCATAAAAAAAATTATGTGGGAATAGCAATGGTCTTCAATATATGATGCCATTATCTGCTCTAAGTGATGACTTACTTTGTTCAATTTACTGCATGTGGGATTTTCTTTGGTTAAAAATACTATGGCCATCTGTGGCTTCAATAATTACCCCTTTCAATCAATTTTCTACCAGTCTTATGGAATAAATGCCTTCTAGTGGTTAGGCCAGGCTTCAGCTTAGGTACAGGTACCTGGTATTTCATGTGTAATCTCTCATATATTACCAGCTGACAATTGCTCATCGAATTTCAGATGGACAAAAGGTATCCAAAATGTATTGGGAGTCAGCAAACTAAAGTTAACCTATTGATTGTTGACTCTCAATACATCCCCATCCATACCAGAAGAGTTGCTGATAGAGTTGCTTGTTATACAGTTACTAATATCAGTATCAATACATCTATAGATTCAATTTCATCTCTTTTTTTATAGGTTAACATTTTTTAAATCGTTCAATTTTGTTCAAAGGCTCATAGAGATAGAGCTTTAGTGCTGGCACTGTTTGCTGCTTGAATATGTCTGTAGCTAGGCCTCTGGAAAGCCTATATATGAAATGTATATTTTTTTATTGTTGCTATAATTTAAACATTGATTTCAGTCTCAATCTAGAGTGGAATGCAGCTGATATTTGTCATTTCATCTGGAAAGAATTAATGACAATTAGTATTCCATTTATTCTATTAGGGGAACGTTCACAGAAGGATGATCCACCAAGCAACAGTCATGGACAGTCATCCAAGCCTGAAGCTAAACCTTCTGAAATAAGTCAGGTACGACCTGTACCTATGCCCAGGAAGAAGAGCAGTTATGCAGCTTCAAGCAGTAGCTCCAGTGTATGTATAACATGTCTGAAACTCAGTATGAAATTGCCTTTGAAAGGTTAATTCATTTGGGAATCACTTATTACACTTTGGTTACCTGATTACAAATAGACCAAATTAACATTGGAGGTTGAACAGTGATTTCCAAATGATTGTTCACCTATAGCAAGCCTTGCAGGGCCTCTAAATTACAGCCATCATACCATCTCATGGATTCTGAATCATCTCACTGAGCTGGTTGGATTATTTGTTGACTGGAGCATCTTAACAACTTGAAGGATCCCAGTTGTATCCTTTCTTTATCAAACAGTCTCTCTTGGTCATTTAATGACTCCCAAATGGATAGCCTAAAAGCAGTGAATAGAACATCAAATGAAATTGGATTCAGTCACAGGAAGCTGGATCCAGACACTCCCCAACTACATTGGAAGAGGTGAAAGAAGGAGTGATAGAGAATGGTGTTGGAGTTCCCCAGGTACCAGTCATCCCACCAAAGCCAGAACCACGGTCAAAGGTGATTCGGCGTAGAGACCAGAATTCGTCAGATGTAGAGAGTGTGATGCAGGAACTGCAGCAGCTCTGTACACCTGGTGATCCACGGGAAAGGTTCCTACGGGACAAGGAAGTTGGCTCTGGGTGAGATGATCATCTCTCAGTCCACACCCAGGTTCACACATGATTCATGTATACAGGGTGTCTGGAAGAAAACACCAAATTTCAATTGATTACAACTTTTCCAACTAGAAACCTACATCCTTGATTTTTGCATCAGTTTGTTCCTTTAAGTTGAAGTTTTAGCAAATCTCCACTTGCATCTTTTCTCACAGACATGGCACAATTCCTGCTCAAATTTGATTGCTGATTTAAATGTAGCAAATTGCAGAATATTCTGCACTTTTTCAAAGGCATAGCATCAGCATGTTGACAGACAATTGCCATGAATAGCCATCCTACTTGATCAATCTTTCAAAGAGCCAACTGATGGCAGTTGGCATTTCTGTGTCAGGTGTTTGTGCCAATTGTAATGCATGATGAAATTCTGGAGCTGCAAATAAAATTTTAAAAACTTTAGACTTCAAAGAACTCACTGATATACATGGATGTAGGTATCTATTTTAAAAAGTTTGCAGCATTTGAAAATTTTTTTTTTTTTTCTGTCTGACTTTGGCTACAGTTTTGTCGTAAGTATTGGCCCAAAAAAAGTGTCACATCTGCATCAAAAGATATGCTTACACCACAAAATAATAACTTGGAAGTTGGAAAGCCATGACAGAAGTGATTTTGTCCGGTATCAATTTTGCCCTCATTTAGTGCCTTGCAATAATTAAGTAGAACTTGGAAAAGTTACAAAATTGTGCAATTTTATAGTGGGCCATAATAGGATTGTCTAACAGACTTAGTCTCATTTCCAAAGATGTCCATGATGTCAGATTTGTTTCTACTGAATCTAGTTTGGATCATGTAACCCAATAGGTTTTTTTTCTTTTGGTGGGGGGGGAGAAACAGAGAAAGAAAATGACTTGTCAGATTTGGGCAGCATTATTGAAAATGATCTTGGGGTATGACAGGGACAACATAAGCACTTTTTGCAGGCACTCAATACCTAACTTTCATTTCAAGAGCCATTGCATTCAACAGTGGTGAATTTCTTATAATCCTGGAAATGCATCTAACCCTTTGGGGCCCAAGTATTTTGGATAAGTCAACATTGTCATCTAAGTTTTTTCCATCCCCCATCATGAGGCGAATATGAGATGACTCAGGCGTGGACCCCAAAAGGTTAAGGACATGCATCTGAGACAGCTGATGTGCATGCTTTTCCTTGAACATACTCGCTGTTGTAAATATTAAGCACATTCAGTTAAAACTCTGACTATTGTTGGACACTTGTGAATGGCACCACTTGTGCTACTCCTGCATATACGTTTTGGGTCTGGGCTGTGTGATTGAGTGCCTGTCAATTTTTCAGTATGACAGATTGGATGTATACTGATTTTCTATTAAGACTGCACCTCAGATTATTACTTCTCTTATCATGCTTTGCAATTTTTGGAATTCATAGCTTGTCCAAGACTGAGAATTTTTCATTTTCCAAAAGTTAAATATGGATTTAAGCAAGCCAAATGTGATGAGGAATTTGAATCCATTGATGTGTTGCTTGATATTCAAGCTCATGAAGAAAATCAAATGCTGTGGGGGTTGCTGGAAACAACCTCTCATCTTAAAGAAAAAAAGTAACACCAAGAATGAGATTTTGATACATAACCTCATACCAGTTTATAATGAAATTTGAGAGTTTTTGGATGTAGGATGTAAAAAAAAACCTTGCCAACCACTCAAATTTAATGCATTCAAGTTGGGAGCAATAAAACATGTACTGTGCTGTGTGATGGCCTTGACTGTGAAGAAAATTCTCTTAGTGTGGTATATTCTAGCATTAAAATACCTCTCCTAAAACTTAAATTACTCTTGTTCTCATCAGTAATCAATCATCCTGCAAAAGAATATGGGAAAAAGCATGTATATGTCATACACCAAGCCACTGTAATAGCCAGTTTGGGCCTCTGGTGTGTCACACTGACCTGAACATGTTCAAGTAGTTTTGGAGAGGCCATACTCATTGCCCAATTTGAACATACAGAAGTAGTATAAGAATGAAATATAGAGCAGAAACTCTTCAATATGTGTAGGAAAGAGCAAAATGTCAAGGTCATATGATGAAGCAATGTAAAGAAAACTATCTGCAATATGCAAATGCCAGAGGAATCCAGGACAAGGATAGCATCACTGATTACACTAGTTTCTTTTTCTTCTTCTTTTCAGCCACTTTGTTATTGGATCATTTTTGAACATTCAACTGCAAAGCAATGGTGAGACAAAGTCCCTAAAGGCAATAATTTAACTAACTTGTTTGAGCATTTGATTGACATAGGCTTATTAGGATGCTTAGCTGGCATTAGGTTGATGCATAAGTGAGAGCATACTACTTTGAATACCACACTTGCTTCTTGCATTTCACTGCTCTCAACTCTTTGTTGCATTCATGAAAGTGATTTTTTTATTTATCTGGTTAGAGTGATCCATGCACCATTCCAGTTAGAAGGATATTCCTTGGCTCTCAGTATCCTAAATAGATCCAGTAGACTAGCAAGTTCATTTACTGGCTTTTAAAGTTTGTGGCATAGGAATTTATTTGGGTGACAGCTTTTAGTGAGCAGTATTTGCTGATAGACGGAATGATTTTTTAGGGCATGCAATTGTATGATAGGTCTTCTTGAATCAATTGACTTGCTTTCAGTGCAGTATTGGGTCATATTATTGGACTCTTTTTTGAAGGATAGAATTCCTGGTAAAGAAATATTAGATACCCCCTTTGAAAAATATTTAAAACAGTTTTGTGAAAGTAGGTAAGCATAATGTCAGCTCTTGTATTTTCAGGGCCTCAGGGACAGTATTCACTGCAATGGACCTCAAGAAAAATGAGCGGGTGGCAATAAAAGACATTGAACTGGATAAGCAACCCAATCAAAAACTCATTGTCACAGAACTTCAGGTCTTGATAGAAGTTCAGCATAAAAACTTAGTCAACTTCCTTGATGCCTACCTGCTTGATAGACATCTATGGGTGAGCACATAATTTTTGGGTCATTATTAAATGACTGATATTCATGTGTGAATGGTTTTCTTTGTGTTGAGGTTGTAATGGAACTCCTCGAAGGTGGACCTTTGACAGATGTTGTCACTGAGACTGTCATGAATGAGGGCCAGATGGCAGCTGTGTGCAATGAAGTCCTTGATGCCTTGTGTTTTTTGCATGCAAGAGTAAGTATGGTTCAGAGCATGTCCACGTATTGGAGAGTCAGACATATCTCTCATCAGAGACAAAGGTATGATTCATGTCACTAAAAAGCAGTTCATAGCTTCCCTGTGAGTTGAGGGAGCTGATGAAAAAAGGGCAACCTGTTGCAAAAATATATTGACATAACCCAATCCACAGTAGGAGTATTGATCCAGTTTGCCAGAAAGAATGTGTACCTTAATTCAATGGGTTGAGTGGATGTGAAAGTGTAGCAACAGGTACTCCAAGCAGCTCAGCCTGGTCACCCACCTCACCCTTAATTGAAAGACTTAGGCAGGTGGCAAAGTGCATTATGGATAATGTCCATATGTCCCATTGTGAAATGGACTGAGGTTTGATGGAATGCATTATGGCATTGTCCCCTCTGGGATTAATGTTTAAAAGGCATGGAGAGTTGGCATAATGGATTTTGAAGTGATATTCTGGGTTTTATGACTATGGTGTCTGCAGTAGAAATTTGAATAGCCATATCTTGAATGAAGAACAGGAGATGCTTCCAATTATGGAATTATTATTATTCCCTAATTAACCTATTCACCAATTTCCAGCGAGTTTCATTCCATAGCATTCAAATGGAGACACACCAATAGAATTCATTACACCTCATATGTAGGTCATCAAAATCCCTCAGTACTGTACAAGGGGCATTAAAAAATTTCCAGCCTGAGACATTTCCAGTTGTAAATTCATAATTCTTACATTTCTCATTGGGATATACAAGGGGGCTTCAAAAAGTTCATGGAAAATGTGTAGCTTGAAAAGAATATATGCGTGGATTTCAATCTCTTTGCACAAAAAGAAACTCTTACTAACGTGTTATAACATGCCTGAACAGGAGCCGACTTTAGGCATTAGGAAGGAGAAGACGTCAGTTTGAAGAGAGCCCCCATTAGAGCAGCATGAATTCTGCTAAAATCGAAGCAAGAACAAACATCAAATTCATGGTGAAGCTTGGGTGGAAGAATGGTGAAATCATTGATGCTTTAGGAAAAGAATATGGTGACAATGCCCCGAAGAAATCGGCAGTTTACAAATGGATAACTCATTTTAAGAATGGACGCGATGATGTTGAAGATGACACTCGCAGTGGCAGACCATCCACTTCAGTTTGTGAGGAAAAAATTGATGCTGTTCGCGCCCTAATTGAAGACGACCGACGATTAACAGCAGAAGCAATAGCCAACACCCTAGACATCTCAGTTGGTTCAGCTTACACAATTCTGACCGAAAAATTGCAGCTGAGCCAANTTTCTTCAGTTGATGATGCAAAAAAGACTGCATTGACATGGTTAAAGTCCCAGGACCCACAGTTCTTTCGGGATGGACTAAATGGCTGGTATCATCGCTTACAAAAGTGTCTTGAACTTGATGGAGCTTATGTTGAGAAATAAAGTTTATATCTTTCACTGTTATTTTTTAGTGTCATTTTTCCACGAACTTTTTGAAGCCCCCTCGTATATGTCTTTGATGAGAATTGCCAAATTCATCTCATTTGTCAATGATGGACAGCTATTATGAATTTTTTTCAATGCAACCAAAGGGTTGGCTGAAGGGGTATAAAAATGGAGACAAATGCTATAATGAATTTTCCAACTTTGAAGGAGTCAATGTCCTAGCAGATCATTTAGGGGAGGATTAGTAGGACACTACTCCTAAATGCAGAAAGATCTACTGGAACATCAACTCTTTCAAGGTTAAAAAATTTAGCACAGCACTCATCTCAATTTTAACACTCATTCAGCAGTCCCTTGGCTGCACATTGAAAAAATTCATAGAAGCTGTCCATCACCAACAAATGAGATGAAATTTAGCCAGTCCCCATCAATGTCTTATGTCTTCTCATAAGAAAAGTAAGAATGGTATATTACTACTGGAAGTGCCTCAGGCTGGGAACTTTTTGAACGCCCTCATACCATTGAGCCCTAATAGGGCTGCAGTCCAACCCGATTGGCTCCACCTGACCTGTAAGTCAGGCTATGAAGCTCAGTTGGGAATCTTCTTTCATGTTGGATTGCAGGCCAATCATGAATCAAACCTATTGGGTCAAGTTCTGAAAAGTTGGAAGTTGTGGCAACTGAAGTTTGTTTTTGCAATTCGAATTGTAGATATTGCCATCTTTCATATCTTCCTTTTGATGTATTTGTTTTCCTATTTGTTATATTCCTTCTTTGTGGTGTTCTGGAATGCATTAATGCTTACTTTCTGGGTAAAAGTGCAGATATCTATTTCTTTAGGGCATCATTCACCGTGATATCAAGTCAGATAATGTTCTCCTTGCAATGGATGGGTCAGTGAAGGTGACAGACTTTGGGTTCTGTGCCAATATAGTTGGGGATGAGAAAAGACAGACAATGGTTGGCACACCCTATTGGATGGCACCTGAGGTCAGACTCTCAATCTGTAGAATTCCTGTAGTCTTTAAGGTAATTGATAACCTGAGCATATTGTTTATAGGTTGTGACCAGGAAGCAGTATGGGAAGAAGGTGGACATCTGGTCCCTGGGTATCATGTGCATTGAGATGGTGGAGGGGGAACCTCCATATTTACGTGAATCCCCCCTTAAGGCTCTTTACATGATTGCTGCCAATGGAAAACCCTCTGTACCAACATGGGACAAACTCTCCCCAGATTATCAGGTAGTTTTCATGCTTTTGGTATGTAGTTTTGCTTTGCATTTTATAAAATACCTTTCCTTTTTGCAAACCCCAAATTTCATAAAAATCCAATAAAATTTCAGTTCATCACCAGCTCAGTCAACACATGCATCAGAAATCTCTCAATTTGAGTGAATGAGGTACTAGATCAGCTCATGAATGAGCTCAAATATTCCTCTCAGGATTTCCATGAAAATTGGCTCATAAAAAATAATAAAGGAGTACTGAAAGCTGTTGGAAGCATCAACATTATTAAAACAGCCAAATCCATCAGATCATGGGATTTTACCACACTATATACAAAAATTCCCTTAGACCTACTCCATAATTGCATTGTTGCTCTATTTGAGAGGTTTCTGCCTTTTGGCTGCAAGTTTGGTAAGAAAGGTGCACAGATTGAGTAAAAGAAGCTATTTGGTGTCAAAATTGTCTGAAACTACCCAAGGGCAACAGAAAATGAAAAACCTTTGGGCCCAGAAGCGCAGAACTTAGAGATGAGAGTCCGAACTATTAGAGACAGCCTGCAGGTATGGGGCAAGGCTTAAGGAAGTTAAAAAGAGAAGGGACAGCGAAGGATCCTATCCCAGAAATTTGTCAGGCAGCATGCATCGTCAGGGGGTTGAGGCCACAAGTCTGGCTCATAAACACTATCCAGAGAGTTTCTGCCGTCAGGTGCTTCGGCTGTAGATGTAAATAGTAGAGGTAGTACTTAATGCCCCAGAAGCAATCCTGGCTTAAGTCCATCTGCCAGTGCCACAATTAAATGATTGATTAGCTTGACCATCCTCACGGCTGAAATGCATGGTAGACACAAGCCTAGAATGAAGCTCAAGCCCATGAAGGGGTTGGGTCGGGTGTTATTGGCCTAATGTGCCTATATATATATATATATATATATACATATATATATAGGGTGGTTAAAAAAAAATGCTCTACCATTTCCTATGGGAGAAACACAGTTTCATAAATTCAGCAAAAAAAATTACATTGGATACGCTATTGAATTTGACTGTTACAAGGTGTTCATATGCTTGCTAGCTTTTTTTCAGCACTCTTGCCTAAATTGTGCAATGCCAATTTAGAGTTGAATTAAAGGTACTTAGAGGTGGAGCATTCCACCTCAAGTGAGGTGATGACCTGTGCTCAGCCGTCTCAGAATTCAATGAACCTTACTTTTCAAGGGACCGTTGGATCCAGCTGATACATGACAAAGAGGTTTTTTTCACTTCCGCAAGATGGCGCTGTATCCTGATAGAGGGCACTGTTGTTGACCCGATGACCAAGGGTGATTACAAAAAACGCTGCACTGGTTTTGAATGGAGAAAGTATGATTTGTGCATTCGAGGAAAAAATATAAGATTGATAATATTTTGATATTGGAGGTATAGGAGATGTTTAGAAGATGGTCTGAGCTTTTCTCAGAACAATTCTTTGAACTGTGCATAGGGCATATGTGCAAGAATCATTTGATCTCCCCTTTGAGAACAGGGGAGCTTTTTTGGTAATCACCTTCAGTCACCAGGTCAACAACAGTGCCCTCTCCCAGGATACAGCGCCATCTTGCAGAAGTGAAAAAAACCACTTAGACTCGTGAACCTCTTTGTCATGTATCAGCTGGATCCGAATTTCCCTTGAAAAGTTAAAGTTAAAAATTTCACTGAATTCTGAGATGATCTAGCACAGGTCATCACCTCACTTGAGGTGGAATGCTCCACCTCTAAGCACCTTTAATTCACCTCTGAATTGGCATTGCACAATTTAGGCAAGAGTGCTGAAAAAAAGCTGGCAAGCATTTCAACACCTTGTAACTGTCATATCAATAGCCTATGCAATGCAATTTTTTTTGCTGAATAGTAGAGAGTATATCTACAGAGCCACAAATAGTGCCTATGTGAAATTGCAATAACAAGTTGAAAAATGTTGGAGTTGCACTTCATTTTACTGTTTTCATCATTTTATTTGAGGTATAATTTAGTGAGATATTAATTTTTTTAAATGGTTCCATACCTTTTGGGACACCTTGTAAATAAAAAATAAAATACAGGACTGAAATTCGCCAATTTAACTCTTGATTCCATGGAACCATTTTCTTCCCACTCCATACAAAAAGACTGGTCTTTCTGATTGAAGGATAGGGCTGACTAGTTGTCTCTAAAGTTCAATTTAAAAAACATTATACTGGGTGTTCCATTTAAAACACAACCCAAAGTATAACAGCAATAAAACAAGACAAACGAGTTGTTTGATAGTTTTTATTTGTTAGGAAGAATATTACAGGAACATACAGAACAGCTTCACAGCAGATGCTGAAAATATCCACCACCTTCTCAAAGACGAGACAAGACGACTTCATTTTTGTACCGTAGTACGTGATTGTTGTTGGGTTGTGTTTTAAATGGAACGCACTGTACTTCCCAAGGCTTCTTCAATGGGGACAGCCCTTTTCTTTCCTGCTTATTGCTCTGAAGTTCATGCCAAAATTTCAGTCTCCCACAATGCTCCCACAAATATCTCCTAATACAGGTAGCCATGTTGAAACTTGAATCCAGTATTTTTTACAGTTAAGGTTCCTGGTTCCCTTCCATATATGTAAGCAATGGATTTGAGTCTACATTTCAGCAAAGACTGATTTTGAATAGAGGCCTAGGTCTCAATGCTCTTCTTAATTAGAGAGGAAAAAAAAAAAAGAATTGAGCAGTCTTATATGCTCAAGTATAATTCTGAGTATGGGCTCTGGTGGATGTACCCCAGTCTCCAGACAGTTCTGTTTCAAGTGAAATATGGGGTGTTGACCAGCACAAATGAAGATGTCATCATCCACGCAAATTGCTTCAGGGGGAGATGCAGTCAGCAGCTCAATTTCAGTGGAAGATAGAATACCTTAGTACCTAGCTATAGTCATACAGGTACTTCCCAGTGACTTCTGGTGTGTGGAGAAAACCTTTCTGGCTAAGAAACTGGACACTTTCTGATGAGGACAGTTGCCTATTTCCTTTCCCAGTAGATATAAAATACAGGGGTTGGTACAAAGTTAATGCCTGTTAATTTTTTTTTCCATATCCTATTAATTAAAAGTGTTGATATTGGCCAAGAAAATAGATCAAGCCCTATTGTATACACAGCTATTTTTTCACATAGTCCCTGTCATGTTCAATATTTCTAGCACTCAACAAGGGCATGTATGTCATCACCATGAAATTTCTTGTCATAGCTTCAATTCCATTTGCACCCAGTGCCCTTCACTTCATTGTCATTCACTATACAACTATATCATTGATACTTTCACTGTATCAATGGTAGAGATCCCATGATTGTCATATTCCTTCTGTAGTCAGAAGTTAATATTAACAGCTCTCTGCTTTGTTCACACATCAAGGACAGCAGCCATTTTAGACTGGTGCAGTGGTGTTGCCTACTGATGGCTCTCTGCAAAACTGGTGCAGCAAGGGCAGAAATATGAGTCTTTATTCAGATATTTTTTTGCCAGTCTTCCATCCTTTAATCAGGAGAAAGAAATTAACATTCATTACTTTTGTACCTAGGTTCTAGGTTAATAGAGGGAAACCATTTCCATGTACAGTCTCTGCATCTGCTTTGTGTTTTTCTTTCCCCCCCCCCCCCCCCCCCCCAAATTTCTTCATGTTTACATCATCAAAATCATACCGTCTTGGTGCACTAAAAGGAGGCTTATTACTGGGCAACTACGGTTCTGCTTATCTACTGTAACTATTTTCCCCTTAGGATTTCATGAATTGCTGCCTAGAGGTGGATGTTGACAAAAGAAGTACAGCTGAAGAATTGGCATCCCATCAATTCCTCAAAAAAGCCCAAGACCTTCGAACACTAACTCCCCTCATCCAAGCTGCTCATCATGTGCTTCATAAAAGCATCTGAATGTCACATCGAACCCTCTGCAAATTTTTTGTGGTTTCAGCTGGAGAGTATCTTACAGCATCCAACTTCAGCTGCATTTTGTCTTCCTTGCTTCTTCTAGAACATCAATGATGGGCTGTATTCTGGGACAGCCTGTCTCTGTGCCTTGTATAGTTACCTGCCCATTGGCACTCTCCTTGAAGCCAAGGCATACTCCATACCTGGATTTTATTTTTATATGAAAGGGATATCCAATATTCCAGCCTTCTTTACTTACCAATTTGCTGAAGCTATCACCAACCAGGTTGCACATCTGTCATTGCTTTCTGGTTTGATGAGTGATTGATGAAATGAGAGGTTTATTGTTTTTGTGAAGTGCAAGAATATTAGTCATTGCCAGAGATGGATAATCAAAATTATTCTATTCATATTGTAAAATATTTAATTTAAGCTTTAACACTTGCTAATAATCATGTTCAGAAAGGATCTGAAACTCAGTATTCATATTGCCAATACATGGATTGCAAAAACACAGAAAGCAATTTAAATTGCATTGCAAAGAAGTAATTTAGAAATACTGATAAAAATTTGGTATTAAAAAAACCCTCCCCAACAGAATGTAATGACAATATAGACAGTAATAGGTGTTGAATTTAGCTTTTGGAATTAGGTGGATTTACTTGATGATGCAGGGTGATCAATGAATTGTTTTAGCTATACAGAGATGTGTGTCTTATTATCTATGGGTTGTTTGCCCTTGGAATCTTGGTATAAAAGTTCACTGCACCATGAGGAAGATGTGGGTCCAACATTAAATATGTCAAAAGAGGTGTTATTGTAATAAATATTCAAAATTTCCAACATTTTCCTAAGTGATGTCCACTCTTGCCAGCCAGTCAAAACCATGTAGGGTGTCCTGAATCAGTGATGATGTTGATCCTCAATCCTTCCCTCAATATTTTAGTTAACTGCCTTTCCAAGAATGAAGGTCATTTGACCCAAAGATACAGATATACATATCCAAGTAGGTTAACCAATTTATTTGTCACCCTGTAATTGAACTTGCATATCTTGTTAATCACCCAAGATAAGTCTCTTGTACTAATAAAAAAAAAGGAAATACTTGAAAAGTCTGGTCAAGGAGTAGGCTCAGGCCTCTTCATGCTCTCATTTCAAAGGTACACAAGATGTACTATTCATAAACAGAATTCACATCAAACCTGGGCCACTTACTAACTATACAGGCCTGTAAGGAATATTATTTTAATATCATCTCTATATTGACTGCTCTTGTAGAGATGAATTCTGAAAATGTTTGGCATGCTAACATGAAATGTGGCTGTCTTTGAATCTTCCATGAAATTTTTTCCTGGAAAGTTCAAAGGAAATTGAACTGGCTTTCATTTAATTCAAATGTATTTTTGAAACATTTTATGCCATATATCACTTGTACTTTAGAAGCATTTTTATGGAGATGTACAAAAGGCAGTATTTGTCTGATGGTTGAGGATGATCTCAAACTATTTTTTGACTGGTGGAAAACCTTGTTGCAGCCACAGATAGACTGCATCAAGAAAAGTAATTTTTTTTTTATATGTAAGCATATGGAATTCAGTATGTTTTAAATTCAGTGAAAAAATTGTTCGTGTAAGTGTTTAAATCAATGAAATCAGGTGTTTCTGTTCAGGTAGCCATAATAATAAGACTCAAAATTCCAAATTTTTCACATAAACATTTTTTTTTTGCATGGGGAAGGCAGCAAGAACACAGCTTTGAAAAAGAGAGAGGTTTAGTTTTACAATACTGCCTTGAAGGAAGAAGCACTGAAGTGCCAAGCCACATTTGCATATGCACCTATTTATCTCTCCTCTTTGGGGGATGGGCACCAGCAATGTTGCAACCTGTCAATGGCTGGTGGTTCTGCATTTGCAGATGATACTGATGGGTGTAAATTCATCAGTACATCTCATTTTTCCAGCATGAACAATTTCATTGTCTGCATGTTCTTCATGGCATGAGCACCCATGGAGCCTGAAAAGGACCAATGAAGTAAATTCAGGCTTGTGATACATGAAGAGCTTACCCTTCAGTCCTGGAAATTTCCAAATCTGCATACCATCAATTCAGAGACATTCCAAGTCACGTCTTTCTTGTTGCCTTGAGATGAAAGGACACAATTTTTGGACTTTTGCTGAGATTGCACTTTGCAGACATTGTATGAAGGTTGTGGGGTGCTACCTTTTGCTGAGATATGTCTTTGAGCCACATATACTTTTGTTCTTGATAGAATTTGAAAGTGTTTAGGGTTTCCTCAGTTGATTGTCAATTTCCTCTGGTGATGCTTTTTCTAAGGAAGACTCTTTGTTGTACAGTACAATATCATTTCACTCTTTGCTTTCCTCTCTTTACCTTCTGATAGCAATGTTATTGTACCTTTATAAACATGTCAGAGGATCCTTGCTCAATTAGCATATGCATTCATCTTGTTTCTAGATCATATCTCCATCTATGACTATATCTTATGCCATTGGCCTACTGGTGTTGACTCCCACAGATATTTCATTTCAAAATGTAATTATATAAATCCTGCTATAGATCAAAGAAACCATAACTAGTGATTTCCAGGTGTGAGATCATCTTTGCTTTTAAGGTAACTGCCTATTTTAAGGCAGTCTGGTTTATCATATACTTTTGCATGGAATATTTCTAGCATTATGCCTAATCATTCTTGCCATATTGCATATGAGCATAATTGGAGAATGGCCTTAGTGCTTTCGGCCAAAGAAGCCTTAAAGTGCCATGTGTAATGCCTTATGCACTGATCTAGTCAAGATGGAGACCATGAACAATTACACATCATTCTGCCATATCTGTGTTTCCACAACAAAATGGTTCTATTCTCATGTGAGAAGTCTGTTTTTGACACTTGGATCTTTTGTATTTAGAGCCTTGGACAAGGAATAAAAAGGTGCCTATGAATTTAATGTATTTTATTTGAATGCCCTAGGATTTCCATTTCTGGCTTCATTCATTGATGCAAAAATGAGATTATTGACTGCAAATTTCATATGGAGTACCCCAACCCTGGCAGAACCAGCTGAACACAAATATAATAAGGCACTTTCTGATTTTGTTGTATAGTTCTAGACAAGGTAAGTACACAGAAAAAATGAGATTATCTGCAGGAGGTGAAATCCCAGGTGACTAGTGGAATCAAAACTCAAACATTTTGTACCTCCCATCACATTCAGTATCCATCACATAGAAAGCAATCATTCTGACTTTCGCTTGAAGACTTTGGATATAAGAGCATGAGTATGATGGCAAATCAGTCCGGACATCCTTCCAATGTACCCACGCTTCTTGAGGCCAGGATAGAGAGTTGCCAGGGTTGTGAAGACAAAGCAGAGGAAGAGATTGGGAACAGTAGTACCAAGCCAGCTGAGAATAAGCAAGGCAGACAAGACCATGGCGTAATAGAGAGGAGGACTATCCTTGCGGTACTTGAGCATCATTCCTTGTAAGCCTGAGATGACTTCCATGATGTTGCAAATGCGAGAGGAGATATGGTTGAACTGAGCCTCTCTCTTATCATCCCAAGGGCATAGACTTTCAAAAAGAGCTCGAAAGTGGACTGTGATGAGATCCACAATTACCATAGACAATGCAAGGGCACTCATGGTGCTTAGAAGAGACAGCTCATGCCACCAGATGATGTAGTAGAAGAGAGCAATGAAGGCAGATAAGAAGATTGGATGCCAGTCTTGTTCCCAATGGAGCACATCATGAAAGATCACAAGCACTTCTCGCCAATTCCCAAACTGCTTAGAACATCCAGGTGAGACTGGCTCACTACTTGGCTTGTCTATCACTCCTTCCATTGTGGAGACTTCAGGATTCTCAGATTGATTATGCTCAAGAACCATGCTTCTCTATCACCTTCAACCAAGAAGAAAAAAAATTTCACTCAAAAGAAATAGGCAGGCCAATAATAGTGGAATGTATGAGGAACACATGTGTACCAAGAATGCCATATATTACAAAGTGTATGGGGGAAAAATAGATGAATGACTTAATCACTATATCTTAACTTCCACTGGAGCTACTTTCACAAAACCTGCAGCATTCATAAGTTCCCTGCAGACTTTTGAAGTTTAATCCAATTTGTTATTGACAGAGCAAGGCAGAGTGAGCGTCTCTTCCTCCTGCTTCATTCTCCAACAAAGGCCAAGTGAAACTATGAACAAACTTGCAGTTTTTATACTTCTTGATTCATCTGTAATCAATTGCAACAAAGCTTAACAAACCTACCTGCAAAAAATGGCAAAAAAAATTCATGTCTATGTGGCCTGGATGATATGCAAGCAGAGAACTCAGATGTATCCATTCCACTACCAGCACAACATCCTTTACTTCATTTTACAATCTCCTGAACTTGTACATAATACTGGTTTCTCATATAGCCAGATTGCTGAGCAACAGATAAGATACACATAGAAATTTCAAAGGCATCACAACTGCAACTTTCAATTGCATTCTTTTGGCATGAATGGTCGACCTTGGCATTGGGAGAAAATCCTGTTGCACAGAGTATACACATGCTCTGAAACTAGCCTCCCTCACCCCCACTTATGGACATACCTTCTCTCCTCCTCTAGAAGCCCACACTCCACACCACATATCTTGTTTCATTATTTTTTTGCCACACCCTACATACTTTCTAACACATGGGAAAGCATGACAAAACTAGAAAACTGGAATACATCCTACCAATGTTTTTTTTTATGGGCAAATCTTATGATAAAATAGCATTTTATCATAGGATTTGTCCACTTTTGCCAATTCTGAGACAACCATCGCAACAGTTCCCTAATGTGGATCAGGCTAATCTTAAAGTTAATGGATTGTTTCCTCCAATGCTCCACTTCTATTTTCTAGTTGAGATGGTATAATACAAAAGGTGATAATTTATAAAAGTATGCATTTTTTTTATTTAGTATTTTTGGGATTGTCAGGACAACTTTTAAGAATTTTTGCCTTAGTCAAGTCACCCTCCTACAACTCAGATATTGGTTCTTCTTAATTTTCATGTTCTCATAACAGCAGGAAGGGCTACAACAATCGGATTTTCTTAGCATCACTACTGTCAGTAGTTTTTCATTGGGTAAAACATACCCTCAAGGAGCAATTACCTGAGGGCTTCCCAAATAATGGGTAAAATTTGTATACCACAAAGGCATGTGCAAAAAGAAATAATTTATGAATTTGAATCAATATGTATGTGACTTCAGTTTCTGTATCATGAAGTCTTAGAACTTTTTAATTGACCTGTTACATCTGTGATGGTGTTCAAAATATTACTATTTTCTCATGTGGAAACTGAAAAATATCCTACCTAGGCAAGCTGACATTTGATAAGAACTTTGAGACCTGCTTCCCTGAAATGTAGACCTTTTTCAAATAATCAGTCAAAATTTTTCAAGTCATAGAGCTGGAAAAAATTTGGTGATAACTGCTTATAACTGAAAAACCAAGTAAGTATATGTTTTCTGATGTTCCTCTCAATAATCATGCAGTCAGCTCAGCCAAAAACATCTGCAGAATATAATTTTTCAATGTAATAAACACATCTTAGCTGGGGGGTTTTTTCTTAAGCTCATCAAAGAATGGTAGGGGCTTGTAACTAACTCTATTTAAGTGACCTTTTATCCATTTCAAAGCTTAATGGTTGCTCTTATTGATATTGCCTCATTCCAAGCAAAAATGGGCCTATGGAAGTTCTGAATTACAAGGTGTTACCTCAAATCAAGACATCTACTGTAAATTAAAGTAGGTCTAGTACTAGACAGGCTTGTCCTAAGACCGTTTTTCTGATGAATGCAGTTTTAGCTCCATGAAATGGAACCATATTCAAGGTCCTTCAAGCTCAGCCTATTGCAACTGTCAGTGCATAGCTGTACAAAAGTACAGCATGCCCTATAAAGATCTCTTGCTTCAGACTATTTTCTCCACCTACAGGAATCACTGAACTTTACTTCGTGCTGAAAGTTACAGGTAGGTCTAATAGCTTATACACGAGATCATAGCAAAGCCTCTTTGAACTTTCTACAGTTTACAGCTAAAGCAGGGTCATCAGAAAACACCTGGGCTTAACGTTAAGCACAGAATCCAGGTGTAATAGGACTTCCACTCTAACGTTAGGCCTGTAGGGAATTCAGGATACTTCGCTAGTAGACTTCTTTGTTGCACTAGACCAAGCACAACACCTAGGCTTACATATGCTTCTGGCTTATAAATGGAACAATCCAATCCATAAGCCACGGCTCAGGTCTATCCATGTCTCTGCAAAGGAATAGGCCTGGCTTTCCCGTCCTGGACAAAACCTGGTAGGCCAACAAAACTAATGACATAGGGCGCTATGATCGAATAATCGAGGAGATGATATCGAATAATCATCTGTTCGCAAAATCCTACGCTAGCAAGAACAAAAAAAAGTGCGAAATCACCTTGTTTAAAGGAGATGCGAAAGGCCCCGAAGAATCACTGCGAATGCTGCGCTGCCATGCTACTGGAAGGTCACATGACCGGGACGATCCGCCCATTCAACATGGCGTCAGCCATGTGGCCCTGCGATGTCTCATCACGCCCGCAAAGTTGATTGATTGAAACGTATCTGTGTGCTATGCAAACAGGATTAAATCCGTAACAGGGAGTTGTTAGAAAGTTTAGTGGGTATTGAGGCACCTAGGATCATGCCAAGACCTCGGAACCAGGAGCCGAAAAATGTTGTCCAAAGACTTTTCCGACGAGAGGTGAGCCTTCAGTTTCTGCAGCTGTAACCCAAAAAATTTTCGCAAGAGCGAGTAAAATCAAAAAAATTATCCCAACAGGAAATGTTTCTTGTAGCATAGGTTCTTCTATTCCAGGAGAGCTTTCTCTAAATTAGCGAACGTTTCCGAAGAAAATCAGAATTCCAGAGGCAGTCCGGTACTAGATCCATGCCTTTTCTAATCTAATAGCAATGCTTTCCAGTTTCGTGATCACTTCACGTAGTCAAATTCTGCGTAAGTTTTATGCCCATTTACTGGCAAAGAAGTCTTTGTTGGTTTCCCTCCCCCCCCCCCAAAAAAAAAAAAAAAAATGGAGAGCGAAAATAGACCATTTCTCGTACGCGAAATAGGTCTGACCTGTTTTATGCAATGAACACGAGTGGGAAATGAAGTGAGATAGGAACAGAAGTTGAAGGAAGGCCATGGGACAAGTGCACTGTGAGGCAATCGCCATTGGAAACAAGCCTCTTATCAATGCGTCTTCGAGGGAAAACCAGTCCCATATATTGTGTAACAGTAAGACTGAGCGTGTGATTGTTCTCCATTCTGTACGAAGTCAGCTAATCAATTAGTCACATTAGAATTGTAGTGATGAGTCTTGCTGATATTCAATATTTTAAATATTATATTTAAAATGATATTTATTTCTTCATCATTGGCACTACAATTGTAGGCCAGAACCGCAGCTCTGAACGTCGTACCGATCGTGGCCATGACCTTCCCAATCACGAAATTCACGCATATTGGCCATCTCTCTCGTACCCGACGTCCAAAAACGCATCGTGGGAAATAGCGAATCGCATCGAGATACACTCAACTGAAGCAAACGAAAGCATTTCAGGGTCAGAATCGCTCTGGATGGAGCAACCGCGGTTCAAAGAAAAATTCACATGGGTTACCTTAATTTCATCCGTATCGTTCTGTCACAAAATTGTAATTTGTGGCATAAGAAAAGTTGATTTGAATATTTAGATTCGTATAAAATTTTAATTGAAAATTCATTGGAATGCAGGTAATATTCACAAATATTCACAAATTACTACCTGGTCGATACTTTCCACTATTTAATGAATCTCATTCGCATGAACTGATGCTTTCCAACATATTCAATTCACAATGGTGACTCTATTGAGATAGTGGAAATTTTACTGAGCAACGAGCAACATCATGCGGGATTCGTCTCCATCGTTCCGCTCATCCCCACCGCGCATTTCTTTTACCGCGGTATCTTGACTGTGGTTTAAGATGTGGAAGCTCCGACTGACCGTGTGATTTCCATGAGGAATCCGCCGGCCATGGAGGCCATGCCATCGTCGAGTCGAATGGGGGGTTTCCCCTGCTTCCAGAGGATTGCTATTTCCAAGATGATCCCAAGAAAGAAATACGGAACCGCCTGCAATAATATAAAATCATCCATCGATGAATTCAGAAATAGGAAATATTTCCCGAAGCATGGCCCGTTTTGTCGGAAAAGTATCGTATCCATTACCTGAGTGACATAGTCAGGAACCTCCTCTGGCTTCTCGAAAGACGTTTCCCACGGATCCGCTAGGTAGAAGAGACGTCCGACTTCCCGGATCCCCCTCTGAATTATCCCCGTCTCGTTCTGATCCATCCCGATCACATTGTTCTCACGAGACGCCCCGAGATCTGACTACGAATTGAACACAGGGGAAGACTGAGGGGAAGAACGAAGCCCGCAATCGACCCACACGCACTCGATCGGGGACCCGACTGTGGCGTTATCTCGAGAGACGGAACGCAGATCCGTGCCGGGAGTCCAAGCACATTCAAGGCCGAGTGGTGCCGGTACTGCGCGGTATCCTCACTTATTTTTCATTCTCACGCGAGTTTTCCGTGGTTTTATCTCCACGACTTCGGTGACAACCGAAGGAACTTGGCACGAGAGAGATGTTCGCGTGTCGCAATCCGAAGGTCGGACGAGCGAGATCAAGCCGACGTCGGTGTGAGTTTTTCGGTACCGCGGACACCACTACTCCCCCGCGCTGTTCGTGCCCAAGGTCCCGGTGTACAAAGGCGGCCGGCAGCCTGGCGCTTGAGGCTGTACGACCAGGCTTGTGTTAGGCCTCGGTGACGCCAACGTTTGCGACATTAACCCCCAAGACCAGGGCTACAACATGAAACATCCTATGCCGCGATCAGACGCTATGGCTTTCATCAGGCGTGACTGCCCATTTGTAAGTCTTGAACGCGTGCAATCATACCCATACGAGTCGCTCACCTACTCATAGGGTTGCCACCCGTTCATAATTAGTATGGACAGTACATATTTCAGATGCGATGTCCATACTACAAACAGGTTCTAATATGGACATTGGTTCGTCCATATTTTAAACGTAATATTTTTTTTTACACAATAAGGCTTAATAGCAACTAATATCGTTATTTCCATAAGTCAAAAGCATCAGGCCACGCTCATAGTATCGATTGACGCCTTGGCCTAAGGTGGCTGTGGGTAATTTCGTATATTTGTCCATATTTTGTTAAATTCAAAGCTGGCAACCCTACCTACTCATAACGTCTTAAGACCTCTTTCGATTTATTAAGATCGTTCTCGGGAAAGATTCCGCCGATCAGGGCCGATCGGAGCAGGATCGACGAGGCGCTTCCTGTCTCGTCCTATGGGAATCGCACAAACAACTTTTTGCAAGACCGTTCAGAGGAATATCATAACACAGACCTTGCCGACAAAGCGTAAGCATTTTAGATGAACCTAGCTGCCCATCGAAGGACTGATCGACCAGAAATCCCTGCAGGACATTAGGGAAAATTTAAACCCGATTTCACGCCTCCTTTACCTAATTTTCTGCAGATAGACCACTTTGCCTTTCAGCCCTTCAATTCCATCCTGATTTGGCCAGGAACCTGGAAATGCATTGCGTTCAACGTCGTAGGAAGCGGCCGGGAGGGGTGGAGGGGAAATGCCCCCCCTCCACCCTCCCCTCCCCCCACTTTTCCAAGTGTGGGGGGCAAGGTTGCCTTTTGTTTCACGTACTTGGAAATGAGTTACATACCTGCATCTGGAGGATCGAATAACTCGTAATGGCATTCGCATTTCCAAAATCCTCCACACCCCTACAAGATGCTCGGAGTCATTTGCCTCTTCTCGTCTCGATCGAGAGAGTTCCTACGAGTAGCGTTCTAGCGTGATGACTGCTATTCTCATAGCCTTCGGATCACATGATACTAGCAAATGCACTCGTATGTGAGCAGTCGTGATTGGGAAAGGTCAAATATTGTCCGATCGCACCTTTATATTTTATGGGAAAGAAGAAAAGCTCAAAGAAAAAATAAAATAAAATAAAGGAAGAAGAAAGGGTCGAAGACAGAAGAGGAAGAGAATTGCTCTCTCTCCTAACCTTACGCCCTTTGATAAAAAAAAATTGTCTCAATTCGCCTCGTCGATTCATTAAGCCATTTCTTCATTCTAACTGTTGCGAATTCCAAAAGAATAGGGTCGTAGACTGACATCACCTTCTTTCGCCTCCATGCCCATTACATACTCCCATCACATTCTCCATGTAAATATTGACCATTTAATAATTTAAAACGGACCCGTGCTCCATCTCCATCGGCGAGCTCGCGTCGCGACCCTTCGGACGTTTCGAGTGGGGAACAAGGACGATCATGAATCTCACTTGGAATTTCCAAGAGGATTCTGAAATAATCATTTTAATAAAGTTTAAGGGGTCCAACAACTTTCACGGTCGATTTGTTTTTTTTGGTCGTGGTCGTTTGGTCGTCCGGTCCATATCCCTCTCTTAAAAGATCTCTCTCTTTAAAGACACTCTCTTAGAGTTAAAGTAATGTAATACGACCAGAGGAAAGTAAGGCGGTAGGCGAAAATTATGCAATTTAAAAGGGACGGCAGGAAGAAGGAAATTGCAATAAAATCTTGTAATAAAATGAGTACGAAAGGCCAATTTGAATTTGATCTTGTTCTCGTGCAGGCACATTGCTTCTACGGCAGATTCAAGTTCTCTACTCGCAACCAATTTCGTTTTGTTTCTGTATCACCTACTTCGCGGGGAAAGGACGATGGGTCCGTAGCAACAATCGCCGAAAAGCAATAGGTTGCCCAGAGATATTTTTTGTCTTTGTGGGGAAATCATCTCATCCATTTGCGGAGAGATCAGTATCTGACAGTCACTCATCCATCCAATAAATCCAACTGAAGAATGAATCGGGCCCATCGCCTGAGGCGTTGGATATGCAGGAAAGCCTCAGCGCTCTTTTCCTGCTGTCGACGGCAAGGAGAGGAAAACCCTCGCTTTTCTGGTGAGCGATCTTGCCCTCGTTCATCTTCCCTTCTCTGTTCATGACAGGTATCGATACGAAGGTCCTTGGGAGCAGAACTAAATAATTATATTTGGATAGTACGGCCTCCTGCTTCCTACAAAATGAAAAGGTTGGCTTAGAAAGTGGTTCGGCACGGCAGGAAATAACACTCGGGGATCCGCTCATCCCCATCAGGTGCATCTCTTCATCTTGGAGAAACCCAACATTTCCCCTCTAATACGAACACCCCTCTCACTCTCGATCGGAATTATTTGTGTATCTCACCTTTCACTGCGGTCTCTTGGTCTCCTTGTCCCTCCATGAAGCTGTTTAGGAAAATAGACCGTTCGAACCATCCTCATCCCAGTCGCTGACGTGCAAGAGTGAGAAAAAGTATTACTTTTAGGAAGGGTTTCACTTTTTTTTTTCTTAATAGGAGGATGCTTCGATGATTCAACACCAACCTCCTCGAGTTGCGTGATGGATTCCGCATTACCCTCGCTTTTATCCTGGGATTCACAATTATCTGTGGGTTATGGCCAGGGAAATGAATGGGAGCACTCCACACTCCCCGCCTACACTTCAGTCTTCCCATCTTATCAGGCTGATCAGTCTCCCCACGGTGATTCCTTTTCCTCTAATTTATCATATTTTTTCCTCTCTTATTGGAATATCACGAATCGTTGCGTGCTTTAAGCAAAGCAATTGGTCCACTGCTTCCTGATAAAAATATGGCCATCACAGTATGCTTATCACAAAGCTCACCACACTTGCGAATACACACACTTGCAAATAAAATGAGCCATTCTGGGGATTAAGATGCAAATAAACAATCGTCGCCGTTCATGAAGACAGATCCCATTTCTCAACCAGCGTTTAAAACTCAATTTCCAATTTGACTTTTAAGAAATGTACATTTTCAGGAGGTCTTAGGATTCATGAGATACCCCAGGACGAAGGAGGAATGGACGAGGGAGGACTTCCCTCTGCTCCTGACTTGTGCCTGACGTCCCCTCTGGAAAATATGGCGATCGCAGTCTCAACCTCCACGATCGCAGTCCCAAACTCAATGATAGCAGTCCCAACCTCCACAGGTCACTCCACTCTCCCCCCTAATGCGGATCGGGAGCCCCCCCCCCCCTCTTTTTAAGTCAGGAAAACAGAGAAACTCACAAATAAAAGACGGATACAATTAGTAGAAGTAGATGCTGAAGTAGAAAGCTTTCATAAAGAACTTCGAACAAGCTCTAATTTCGATCATCCGAGCTCTCGGTGAACCCCAACTGCTCTAATTTACCACTGAGCTCATTTTTGACTATGTGGGGTACCCAAATTCGTTGGCCATTACGGCCTATGGGTGGGTCCGAGTCGACGACATCGAAAACTTGAGCTGCGTAAGACTCCGTGGCCGTTGTCAAGTGATGGGATTTGGGAGGGTAATGCCTTGTGAAAGAGCGATAGAGGTATTTTTTCATGTCTATGTATGTCTGCTACAGCCATACGGGATGCACTTTGCCTATACCTTCAATGGGGAGTTCAAATCCCTTAGTCGGCCCTTGATCGCTCCTCGATCTTTTCTCTCTATTGCTGCATTACTTTTTTTCCCCCAAATTGCTCTGAGGGAGCGGCCTTAGGACACCATTGCTGTACTTGGAGCAAGTAAGGCTCTCAACTGTTAACTGTGTATACCGCTTGACTGGCCGATTTTTACGAACTGGCCGCGAAAATTCGGTTTCGATGATCCGCTACGATATGCGTGTGTATTCCCGGTCTCTGAAATAAAAATATGAGCTCGTGTTCTTTTTGCTTTAAAATTTTCCTCATCGTGCGAAGCAGTACTTGAAATTTCGGTTAACCGAGTGTTAAACTGAGTTCCATCGGTTACCAGTTGATGAACGAACCGGAAATTGATAACCCTATGAGTGAGATAGGAATTTCTTTTCCAGTATGACAATATTGCACTTACTTATGCCCTGAGGAAGATACCAATCGCAGAACAGCTCAAGCTTTTTGAACAAGGGGTTACGTCGTCCCCCCCCCCCCCCTCCAAACTCAGTAAAACAACAGAAAAGGCATAATGTATACTGTATGTCGCGGTCTCATTTCACGTGTCGAGTTTCTTTACTTTCTTACGACAGGCATGTGCGTTGGCGAATTGTACTTCCACTGGGGATACTACCCAGACGGTCGAAAATACGTTTGCTGCAAAATCTACTTTCGGTCACTCCATGCCGTGCTGTCGTGCAGACTGATCATCGAGCCACTGGGAAGAATCCTCATCAGCCTCGGCGCCAGATATCGACTGTCCTCCACCAATGGCTCCTTCTCCACGATGAATCATTGGATTCACTTCATGTTTGAACCGGCACATCTTCTCCTTGAGCCCTTCCCCAATATGAGTCCTGAGCCCTTCCCCAACATGAGCTCTGAGCCCTTCCCAAACATGTGAAGTGGGTGACCCATCCCCTTCTACGTCACTTTCACTTCCTCTTCTGGTCTGACACCTTAGTATTCCTCGATTCCCTTTCAGATCTATTAGATGTCCAAAATCCGTTATGGTGGGATTTCAAATTTTTTTCTAGAATTTTCTTAAAACCAACTCTTCTCCTGATTGACTTCTTGAAGAGCAACGAATGCTTTTAGAAGCTCGAAAAAGTCATTTAGTCGAAATTGGCTTTGCCAAGCTTAATATTCCTTGCTTAATCCCCAATCAATAAATGCAACTAACACAGCTACAAGATAGGATCAAGAACGGCTAAATGCACTAGTAAGGAACTCCTTCACGTATATGTAGGGATCACCTTCTTATGCTAACAATCATGATAGTTATTTTAATCCTTTTAGTGCCACGCAGCCGATTCGTAGGCAAAAAAAAAACGACAATATATCGTTCCCCTGGCACTAAAAGGGTTAAACCTAGTCCATTCTCTCTTTTTATTATTTGAGTCTTCAGGCACCTCAATATGAAGATTTTTATGTTGTGACTCACTGTATATCATGTAAGAAATTCAGTCCATTTTAAAAGAGGAATTTGGATTTGAAATTATTTCAATTTCTTTTGTGTACCATGCTTCTATAACTTGTTTCCATAATCTAGAACCAAATACTGTTTGAAGCGGGCAGTGAAGTGCACAAATACTCAAACAACCGAATTGAGATATAATTTCACTTAAAACTATTAATGACTGATTATGAAACGCTTTTAATCAGAGAGAAGCGAAGAACAGGGAAACATAGAAGAACAGGAACATAGGGAAATTATTATTTTATGCATTTCTGTGAATTAAAAAGATATAGGCTCGTACTTTGCAGCTGCCGTTTCATCATGGTGTTATTAGGCACTCCAGATATGCCTCAATAGAAGTTACAGTGCAGGACAGGCAGAATGCAGCAATTAAAAGCAAAAGAGTGTAGTCCCTCAAGGCTGCAAGAAGTACTCCCCATAATGAATGGAGCTATTGTGACATCATCAATGGGGATGATTCTCTCTTTCTTCCGAAGCAGTTGATTGTAGAGAGATCTATTTATAATGTCTGTGCTGCTTTTCGATGCATTTTTTTTATTATTTTCACAATCATATAGCCAATTTTCTCCATTGCAGCAACGTTCAGTATTGAAGATGTTCGCCCAATTGTATAACATGGCCTACTGTTTTTTTCCTTGAAGGTTCACAAGAGATTCGGGTTCCAAAATTCTGGTGCAAGAGGGTGGTGCTGTGTGGTTTTGCTGATGCTGTGTGGAAATTTCATCGACAGTTTCTAATCTGCTTTTAAGTCAGGTTGGTTGGACGGACGAAGGAAATCAATGGAAGCAATTTAGAATTTTAAAATTAATTAAATTCTGAAGCCCAGTGCCCAACAGCAAAAGAGAAAATTTCCCATGAAAATTTTCCCTTCTCCCCTGGCATTCTATTGATTCTATTGACATAATTATTCATTTTTCCTTCATGCAGGAAATTGAAAGTTTGGGAAGTGATTTGCTTAGAATACAGTAAACACCTCAACGAATAAAAGACATGTTAGGTGATGTTGATACAGATTAGCACCTCATGGAGCTGGTCCCCCTAGAAGCAACAGAAAGGATGACTCTTTACTTCATATTTTGGAGACAGTGCTGCCCCCATCATATGCTGATTTGCCACTTTTCAGAAACAGTGTACATCTATTGATGTACTTGCAAAGCCTGTGAAATTTGTTAGTAGGTAAATAGATAAGAAATGGGATAGATGGTGGGGGTGAGTTTTATCCAACCATCTCTCTCCGATCTATCCCTAATTAATGCACATCTAATTAACACAAACGAATCCTCAAGCTTTGCTGAATCTGTATCCCTTGCTTAAAATTGAGGGTTATTTTTCGCAAAAATTTGTTCAAATTGAGTACATATGAAAGGTGTTTGAAAAATATTTCAATTCTTACATTTTCAGCAACATAATTTATTCCAAACCTACAGCTTATGGAAATATCATTCATCGGTTATTATGCATGGTCATGGTGCATGATTTCCTTCTACTGAACCAGCTTTGAAACATGTATTTGGAGTGTACTTTGGTGAAGGTTTTCAACCCCTGTTCATAGCCTCCTTAAAATTCTTGGACTGAGAACCTCCTCACCCAAATGGTACTTTCAACGTTATGAAAGAAGCAGGAATCTTTGGCAATACTGTATATTTCAAGAAGCTAACATGTCTATCAAACCTAGGAAGAGGAAAAAGCTGCTGTTGCTGAAATGGTCCATACTAGAAGGAACATGTAAGACTAACTTCTTGTAGTTTCTCAACCAGCTGATATGCATGCTTTCATTCGGATGAACCAATTCTGAGAATACCCATTGAAGTCCTCATTGGTGAAAGGTGACAACATCTGTTCTTTGCCTTTTCAAGCTGCTCCTTGAAGACATTGCAGGGAAAGATCCAGAAACTCTCATTCATGCTTCCAAAACCCAGTGTGTTCTGATGTTGTGTTCTTTGCACGGGGAGGGGAGAGGAATTCACAAAGTTCCAGTGAAAGGCTGAGATGAGACTTCATGGAACCCATGTGCTGGAGGATTCCATGAAGTCCCTGCCAACCAATGACAGGACTTTGTAAAACCCTTATGAGCTAAGACAATGCCACTGCACATGGAGCTTTGCTTTGTTCTGTGCAGAATTTTTTTGGTCATTGTCCTAGTGCAGAAGGATTCCACAAAGTTCCTGTATACCACAAAGATGGGACGTCATGGGGAATCCATTTTGACCAAGAGAATGCTCCCCCTCCCCCCTTACAAATAGAGCAATCAAAACACAGTGGGTTTGATAGATATGTTGACTCCTTGAAATATATCGCCCAAGATTCATGCTTCTTTCGTAACACTGAAAGAACCATTCTGAAAGAACCATTCGGGTGAGGAGGTTTTCAGTCCAGCGGGATAAACAGGTTCATTCTTCCTTCTACCCTTCAGTCTTCATACTTGATCTGGAACTCTTATTTTTCTTTGTGAAATCTCCATTTCTCCCCACTAGATCTCTCCTTCCTCCTGCATCTACACAGCATCTTATCGAGCCGTCGGGTTTATTCCACTTACATTCCCTGTCCAGCCGCATTTCGGTTACTTCCTGACTCATGCTGGGCAAATCATTAAATGACTTGTAGCACAGGGAAGCTATACCAAGGGAATTTCTCCTTGGTGAGGACAGCTGTAACACTCTCACTGCTAATCGCCCAAGAAGAAAAAAAGTATGGGGGGTGACACCGCAAGAAATGGTCAAGGGGACAAGGATATACTTACGAAATTGAGTTGAGGTTACATATGACCCATTGATGGCTAATGCAAACAACTGCATTGAGTGAAATGATCCGATGGAATGCATAGCAGGTTTAAAGCAGTGCTTTTTGTTCTCTATTTTCATTTCATGTGAAAAAGGCATATCAGATTTCAATGGGCAATTGAATTCAAGAGTTGTTGAAATTTTGGCTGTAAGAGATGAATTCATCAAAGTCATGAATTCCATGGTCTGATCAGATTTAGCAATGCAGCAGCTCCCATTTTACACTAGGCAATATTCCAGGTCTGCTTCCTAGGCAATATGGTTTTGGATATATTTTTTCCCCCAAGAACACAGTTACTTCATTTGACAGGCTCATATGCTTCAAATCTCAAGTGGGAATTTCATCTGTTGCATAGCGTTTACATCACCTAGCATTTTCCCCAGGCAGCAGTGGATCTATAAAAGGAAGCGACTTGTTATCCCTTCCACAGCTTCTATGGGGGATCAGCTCCTAGAAGTCTTTCCATGCTTAATGGGTTGTCCCTTCATTTAATTTTCAGACGAGGCTTTCAGCCTAAAAAAAAAATCATTTTTTAAATTTCATTCGACTGCCTCTCCTCCTACCAGGCGATAGGGCCCATTACATTCTTACCTTTTTGAGGCAAACTTTAATTTAAGGAAGCAAGAACCCCTCCAACTCGTTCGTCCAACCAACTGCTTAATCTTTCTAATCATTTCATTTTTAAATCGAATCTTTTGAAGTTTCACACCATCTTCCTGTATTGTCACGTGAAATTAGCCACTGGTGCCCTGAGGTTTGGAATAAATCCACTGAATATGATCATGCTTCCTTTTTTTCTCGCTTGGCAGATGATTTCTTCTTTGTGGAAAAAAAAATTGCTGAGAAATTCTCTTGAGTTCCGCCGACCCCTCCCTAATTATGCTTAAGCCCAAAGATGGTAATAAAAAATATCCACGTAAAAGTCAGAAATCGATCAATTTTCAGAAGTGTGAAATGAGATAGTTTCATAAAGGAAATAGTCAAAACAATGATGTAGCCAGAATTTCGGCAAAGGGGGGGGGGGATGGCTCTAACCTCCTTAACTTCTCCAATCCACTCATATTTTCGTCGGTCTATCGTTGGCCCAGTGCTGGGGAGGTTGGTTCAACTCCGGCCAATGATTGGACCGGCCAATTGACACTTGTGCTATAGTTGTTCCAGCCATCGTTGCTTCACTAGGCAGCACATGGCAGCAGTGACTAATTTACAACTGGCCCAACATCGATATCCAGGAGTTGAGACACATACAAAGACCTCAGGCAAGCCATTCCACAGCCACCCAAAACAAAGAAGGTTGCCAAAATCAAGCCTGAGACGGAGCCTAGGCTCTAACATTACATTTCTTACATTATATTTATGTGTAATATATATTTTGATACTCGTAGGCTTTTGCTCCCTCCCCCCCCCCCCCACCCCCCCCCCCCCCCCCCCNTCTTTCCCCCCCCCCCCCCCCCCCCCCCCCCTTAGAGGCCCATATTGAATACGGAAGAGGAGAGAAGTGGGTCATTTTGGTACTCTTGGGTGCTCTCCTGAGTAGGCAACAGAGTCAAGATGATATAGGTGAGTTGGATGAACATGAAGGGTGAATTGCGTGAAACTGACTTTAGCCTAATGCCAGCATAAAACCTCCATTTGGGGTGGAGTTAAAGCTACTTTAGAGGAGATTTTTATTGTGGATTGCATGAAAATAAATTAGCCTAACGCAGCATTAAATTCCGTATTAGTTTAATGCTACGATGACATGATTTTAAACCTTCATTAGCACGGAAGAGGAGCATCTCGCCGGCTCGACACACTTCCTTACTGCTTCACTATGTCCACAGACAATGCTTTTATTTATTTTTTGTCCTGAATGTTTCCGTGGCCGTGAAGAAAGCAGAGTGAATAAGCAGCGTATTCAGTAGATGGTCGCCCGAACTCAGCTGAAGCACTTGACGCCTAGGAGTGTGTGTTCCATGATCGACTTGGAACTTGGAGCAGTACTCTCCTGAAGAGGTATTGCAAAGGTACCGATTCACACCTCAGGGCATCCTCCTTTTGGTGGACAATTTTTGAACCTGATCTACAGGGTTTTTGGAAAGTCATTCCGTTTTGTTTTTACATTATACGAGGTAATAACGTTTGTCATTTTTGGACTCGAACAATGGTTTTTGTGCGGAAAGAAAGAGAATTCGGTAGGATTTTATGAATTGATCGAGTTATTTGTTTGCAGTGAACCAAACAAATCTGGTGCGTGTCATCCTGAATCTTCGACATCGTGCGCAAGTAGCTGCGAGGTATGAGGGGTGGAGGCGGAGAAAATGGGAAGTTGCATCCAAAACGCGACTCTTCCTTGGTGCAATCAAGACCCATAGTCGCCATTTTTCGTAATTGTAGGAGGCACACGAGACAGCAGCCAAACCAAAGACCACCGTTTTCATGGCGCTGATATTCTAACAAGCAGTACCATGTGCGTTGCTAGTCAGTGCCGTAACAAGGGGTGTGCGAGCGGTGCCCCCGCACAGGGCGCCGAACTGAGGGGGGCACCGATTGGCTGCCAAATCACAACAAAATATGTATAAAGCAAAAAAAAAAAAAGAAAGTTCAAATTATCCTGAATTTAACTAAACTAAACATAGAAATTAATATTTAATGTATTGTTTGTGCTGGGGAAGCTGGAGAGGAATAGTGATTAGTGGGTGCTGGGTTGGTATCTCGTGCCGGGGGGGGGGGGGGGGGGGTGGTTTCTTGGGACTTGAACGCGGGCTTGGCGCGCTATGCGGCTGAACGATAGCGGTAGGCCACTGGACAGTGTTGCCAAAGGTGCAGAGACCGTTTTCCATGTGTAATTCAAGTATATTCCATGGGTTGGATTGATATCTTGCGTGGGGGGGGGGGGGCGCTAGATTGATGTCTCGCACAGGGCGTCAAATATCCTCGGTACGGCTCTGTTGCTAGATATATATCCAACGTTACGATCGTAGATGTCTTGTTACTTTTTGACTCACCCTCTTACCTTTGCGGGCATTGATTAGAAAAAAATTAATTTTCGAGCGTTGTCGAAGCAACGAAATACTTGCAGGTCCCTGATATACACAGTGGCATAGCGAGGGGGGGGGGCGGGGGGGGCTTCAGCTTCCCCAAGTTTGGTTCAAGCCCCCCAACTCTGGTCGGAATGCGCCCGCCCCACACCGATGAGGAGAAGTTAGCCCTGCCAAACGTTCCGCTTAGCCCCCCATTGACGAAAACCTGGCTACGCCACTGGATATATGTCATCGGAGTCGCTAATGCACATTAGGAAGCGCAAGTGTCAGTTAACAATAAATTTTTTAAATGTAATGCCTCACTTTAAACCTCCTTTAGTTAATGCAGATTTAAACCAATGCTGGCATAACTTTCATGCAATCCACCCATGGAATATACTTGAATTACACATGGAAAACGGTCTCTGCACCTTTGGCAACACTGTCCAGTGGCCTACCGCTATCGTTCAGCCGCATAGCGCGCCAAGCTCGCGTTCAAGGTATTTAGATAGTCGGCTTTGCCAATCTGAGCCCATTGCTTGCTCTGGCAGGCCTCGAGAGCCAAGCTTGGTAAGTCCTTTATTCGAAAGATAGATTACTTTTCTTATGAATTCCTTGTTTTCAGTGCTTTCGTGCATTTTGTTCATTTTCTCTTTAGAATATACGTCTTTTATATGAAGCCACGAGGCAACAGCTTAGGCCTAAGCGTTAGGCTCAGATTGAGTCATCTATAATATACGGGATTCTTGATCAGAGGCTTTGCAGCACACCAGCTACTGGTCAGAACTTTGCGAATTCAAATATAGGCTCTTCCAGCGATATATTGCAAAAATAAATTGAGCTCATGCTGTAACCTTTTCAAACATAGTGGAATACTGACAGTCTTTTCTATCTTTTACTTTGAAACTGATCCTGTCATTTGCAAAAAGGAAACTGGAAGGGTCACTACATACCATGGGTCAAAGACTTCAACACTCAATTGGTACAATAATGCTATAGCTACTAAGAGAATGAGTACCAGACAATTTCATTGACACCACATGTATGATAGAGTAAAAATCAGGGCTATTGTACGTCTTGTGAACACCATGTACACCCTGTGTACACCCATCCTTTAAGCCCAGTCTTCGCCTTGTGACTATAGCCATGTACTAACTAAGTATAAAGCATGGGTGGAGGAGGCCTAGAATATATATTTTCCAGCATTGATTAAGCCATCTTATCCATTTTCAATTAAATGCGCCATATTGAAGCGCCTCCCCAGCGCTCTCTTACGGTTTCCATGCGAGGCTATCTGCCAGGAATTTTTATTTCTACTGGAGCTGAACGCCGACTTCTAATTCTCATATACAGTCTAACTCTTGTTAATTCGGACTTGAGGGGACTGGTGATTTTTCCGGATTATCGAGTCCCTGCCCGAGTGACCATTCATTTTTCTTTTTTTTGCAAGAAGAAAACTGCACAAAATGAAGACGCCTCATTACTCGGTTCCAGGAAATTGGGGAGATCAAACATTTATTTAGTTATTTATTTATTTATTTATTCATTTTAAATCCAAGGGTGAGGGAAAGTAAAGAAAAGGGGAAAAGACAGAAATCTTTTATTTTCTATTATATTATATGTATTTTGCTGGATAGTCCGGATTAACGGAAGATCCGGGTTACTGGCGTTCGGATTAACGAGAGTTGACTGTATTGCACATATAGCAATAGTAGCAACACACGGCAGCGGTACCCTCAGTGACATCACCACTACGACCACTATCAATGTATCATCCATTCCATTGACTGACATTGCATATAAAAGTTATTGCATGCATTTCGGCATACGTCATTTATGTCGCACGACGACCCTGTAGTATGGTAATGGGCAGGAACAGGAAGGTGTTCACGTCGGGTGTACAGGGGTACACAAGATAGGTGTTCACAGGCCTACGAGAGGTGGTCACAGAGCCCTGTATAAGGTGTGCACATAACGAACTCGGGATGTACATGGTGTTCACAAGACGTACAATAGCCCATTATTTTGCATTTGCCATGTTCTGCATATTCTGTGTCTCTGAAAAAATAAAGTATCTAATGTTCTTTTGTTTTTATTGCTTTACAGGTGTACTACCTTTCTTTTTGTATTTTTCATGTTTTAGTTGAGCAGTGACTTGCTCTAGCTTGTTTTCCTACTTGTTGATGTGAATGATGCTGAAAAGACATAGCCCGCTGATGCCTGACTGGTGTTTGTATGCCACCATTGCACTGGGCATAGGAAGCAGCCTTTCTTGGACTGTTGAAGCTGCTGTGAATCATGACTCACTCCAGAATCTCATCTTCAGAGGATCTCAGCTTAGCATTGCAATCCCACCCACCAATACTCGAAGAAGAGTGGAGAACTTTGTCTGTTCCAAGAATGAATATCCTCCCCCAATCAAGTGAGTTATGTTAAGCACAAAATTTATTTAAATGCTGGGTGATGCCCCTTATTAACAGGGATCCATAATGCTGAATTTAATATTATGCCAGAAATTGAATGAGTTGAAAAATAATTAATTTTAAATGTAAAAATTTTTTCTTGATAGTTCTCAAGTTTTTCTTATGTCTTTCAGTCCAAATATGCATTTAAATTATCATTCTTTACTTCATATGGAATCTGAAGGTGTATGATGTGGTTTGCAACACATAATGTAAGGTCCAATCCAGATTATATAGCAATGCAAATGAAACTGCATCAACCCTGATGTTTTTTCTTGTGAATATCTACCAGTTCTCTGCTACAGCTCATTCATATTGCAGAGATCGAGTGGAATCCTACAAAGTGGATTTAGACAGTGATCCCAGAGATCGCTGGTCGCAACTTGTGAAACTGAAGAAACAGGAAGTGAGTTCCTACCTTTGATCTCCCTCAAGCTCAATTTTGTTATTTTTATTATTCCAGCTGATTTTTTTTAGTTCCACAACACTAGTTCACAATTTGTACAGGGTTTCTGCAGAATGATTTTTAGACTTCAATTTTGGTCATATTCCCACCAATATATTCGCATTTCCAAGCCCACCAAACGAAAAGGGGACCTTAACCCTTTCCATAGCTATTTAATACGGGAGTGGTCAGAGATGCACTGAACTCAAGCCAAAACTTGCTTGTAACTCAGGCTCTTTGCTTTATCTCAGTCTGGATCACAGGTCATTCTTTTCATTGGACTTCTGTTTTCCCTCAAATCTTTGCTGCATGTGCTGCTACAAACTTTGAATGAATTTCAAATATTGTCTCCAAATGGAGACATTACCATAGAAAGGGTTAAAGTAGACAGGGAAAAATCTCAGGAAGTTCTACATTTTTTTTAATCTATAGAACTCACTGTTTGAATGTGATCTAAGGCTAATGTATGGAGCCTAGACCAATTGTGCTTTGAAGTCATATTAGTAACAAAAAGGAAGCACTTGACACATGGTCCCAGTGCAGATGATCTTCATGCTGCTCCCCTTGACAAAGAAGTGTTAGAGTTGAGAAGACTTTTGAGACTGTTTCAAATTTCATTTTAGTTCTGTGATTGAAGTGGAATTATTATAAATCTTCCCAAAAACTTCTAATTCTAAAATTTCAAATATCTTCCAATTTGGTCATTTTTAAGAAGCTTGACAATTGTACATTTCTGAGGTACTACATATTTCATATGAACAGTATAGAAGCCTTCATACTTTTTCTCAGAATTAAAATAAACATTTGCTTAATCATAGAAAAAATCCATACATAGGAAGGAATCTTTTCTTCATCTGGAACCTATGATCAAAATATTGGCAAAAGACAATATGCTACCATAATAACAGCAGTTTTATGCTGATTTTCTATTACCAATAATAATTTTATTCATTATCATCAGCTACAAACGCTTGTTGGAGATGTGAAGGAAATACTCGGTGGAATGCTTCTTGCTTTGTTGGATGATGAGCTTCCACTCCTTGCTCACACCCTTCCATCTCCATATCGGGAGGAGATCATTGGCATTGCAGATGCCACTGGGATTCCCCTTGGTGAGGTCACACTCTATAACATCTTCTATGAGGTCTTCACATTCTGCACTTCCATCATTGCCAAGGACATCTCAGGAACTATCATCCATGGCCGCAACCTTGATTTTGGCCTCTTCCTCGGGTCTGTCATGTCATCTTCATAGGTTTTGTTCTTTTTGTTTTTTTTTTCTTAATTGGTACTTTTTTTGTAGCAAGATTGTAGGTGGCATTCTTTTTCAATGTGTAAAGAGATAGCTTTTTTCCCCTATCATGTTTTTTCTGCATGTGTCTGTTCCTACCACCATTGTCTGATAATGACAGGATATTTCTTGGTCATGTTGAACACTAGTGCATGGCCATGTATGAGCAATGCATAGACTATTAATGTTTTTAGGGCATTTGTACCAAAAGAAATTCTTTATTGCACATTTAATGTGTCCTTTTGTCAGGGTGAAGCACATAACCCATTAGTGCACAAGTTCTTTTTTCATCTTATGTTTATCAAATGGGAAGTTTTTGGCTGAGAAATTTCCCATATGAAGTTAAGACTTCTTTCACTTAATACATACATGCAATACCTCATTCTCTTCTTAACACTTTTTATTGTTCCCCAACAATTTAACATAAGCATAATAAAGGCCTTAATTTTGAATGTACATTCATGGATGTCAGATACATATTTATGTTTTATATTTTCACACGAAATTGACATGAGATATATGCCTACATACTTGTTTCTTACAAAAGATGGGACAAGCAGAACAACACATGGAGGGTGACAGAGCACCTTCGCCCCCTGGTTGTGGAGACAACCTTTATCAAGGGGGGACAGGTCCTTTACAAGTCCACTGGGTTTGTAGGGCACATTGGGATCCTGACTGCTGTCAAACCGGTATGCTTGTTCTTATCTCAAATCTTGATATTCTTTGGAGTCTGGTTTTATATTATTTCCATTTCCACCAGCCTGTCCAATGTCTTATCCTTTTGTTTATTTATTCTACCATTTTCTTTTCAAGATTTTGTGATGTATGCCCATTTTGAACATCTTGAACAGCAACTCACTGAACAACCAGCCAAGCATGAAGGCAAAGGGGAATTGCAACAGGCATACCTCTACTGTAGGCTTGGGAAGTTAAAAAAATATATTGAGCCTGAGTGTCAGATGATATCTTAGTCTTAGAAAATAATCCCACTCACCCCTCTGATGGTCATGTCTGCCTGTGTCTCCTACCCACTGAAAGTGATTGAGTTCCCTTTCTGTCTGTCCTCCTTTCCCTCATTTAAATGTCATTTGCTTGGGACACCAAAGATCCTAAAATCCTTGGCTTGAGCAGATATGTTATAGATGGAAGCTGTCTGTTATCTGTGTGGTTCTAGATACTTTGCACTTAGAGGAAAGACTCTTAACTGTGTCAGCCCATTATGTTCTTGCATTGGTCTTGGGATCTTTCAGTCTCTTTGTATTGGAGATGCTCACAGGTGCTTGTACTGTGTCCACAGGGGGCATTCTCCCTGAGTATTGATGAGCGGTTTGGCATGGATGCTGGGATCCTGGGGATCCTCAAGTGGATCCTTGGGGATCGCTCAGGGACATGGTTGGGGTTCCTCACACGCTCTGTCATGGAAGAGGAGACAACGTATGAGGCTGCCCTCAGGAGACTCTCTGACACCAGACTCCTTGCCCCAGTATACTTCATCCTTGCTGGTCCCAGCACAGTAAGACAGGATGACATTTTTCATCTTTGCCTTTGCCTTTCTAAACTAATCTTTTTTTTTGTCACCTAATAATTCACATGAACCCCAAGTATACTGAATTGGATTTGCAAAGGAATCCATGCACACATATGAATATTTGTATTCAGGAAATGTATGACAAGGAGTATAGTAGTCTGCCCAATCAAGTGTTAAAATGAATTTATTGGAAAATTTATCATGAATGTTTTTAGGAGGATTCATGCAAAAGTTATCTGTTACTAGTGTTGTCACTATCCCCTTTGTAATCATATATATCATAAAGGCTTTCTTTGTTGCATGCCCATGTTAGTGTCTTCACCCTCATATTCCCTCTGCTCCTACCTCAAAGAACCCCACAACTTTCCTATGTTTTCCCTATTTTCAAATGCTTGATCCTATTGGGATTGGTTTTGACCTACTTAGAGTCAATACAGCTGCAGAATTTATGATACCATCCGAGAAGAGAAGCCTAATTAAGAGGGTTTGCTGTGCCCTTCAACTTACATGTCTTAATCCAGTGATATATATATAATGTTCCAGTTTATAATATGCTCCAAATTAAGTTATTTCAAAGTCAATTCAAAGTTTTTATTTCGGTTGAATACCTTGAAAGGCAAATTTTGCATAAATATAATAGAAATTCATGCATCAGAGTTTCAATATTTATACTGCCTACTCTATATGAATGATAATATTGTGAGACCTCTTCCTGAATCTTACCTCCTTGTCTTGTGTTACACCTCATGCTTCCTTACAGACGCTGCATGAAATTTGGGGTGAGGATGGACATATATTTCCTATTGGCATTTTCATGTCAGGGGGCAGTGGTGACACGATGGAAGAAGAAGTATGACGTGTGGGAGCTGGACGATAAGGCTGCTGCTCCTTGGTACCTGGTGGAGACCAATTATGATCACTGGGACAAGCCACCATTCTTTGACAACCGTCGTGATCCAGCCATTGCCTGCCTGGAGCGAGCTGGTCAACATGCACTCAATCGTTCTCTCCTTTATGATGTCTTGTCCACCCGACCCATCCTCAACAAGGTAAGGTTGAATCCCTGCTACAGATGTTCAAGCTGAGGATGGTATTTGGTGGTCTGCAGCCAAGAATACTTCTGGTCTAAAAATGTCACTAACCACTCAATAGTTTGGAAAATTCAGCTTAACCCTTTAATGCTCAGTAGGAAGCATACTACCTTCTAAAAAAAAAGTGAATGCAAAACATTGGGAATCATTTTCCCACTTAGAATTAGTCAACCATCTGGTGAAAGGGTTTTGAGGCTCAAAAAATTTGGCCACTGGTGGTGTTGGAAATTTTATTTCTTCATCACTTTCTATATTGAGTCAAACATTGCCTCTGGACCACTTTTGAGGATCACTGTGGTAACAGAGTCTAAGTTTGGGATTCTGCCTCTCATGCAGCTGACGACATATACGTCATTGATGGAGCCAAGCAGCGGGGCATTGGAATCCTGGCTCCGCTGGTGTCCTGACCCATGTCCCACCTGGTGACACCCTCTGATTAATTCAACAGGACTCAATCTCAACTAAGCTCTCCTCATTTATCTGAAATTCTGTGATCTGGCTTCATTCTTTGAATATTATCTTAGATCTCATCTCAGTGACTCCCATCCATTTTGAATTCCTATTTCTAGAAGCCTCTCTTGCTCCTATTTTTCAGCTTAAGAACAGTCTGGACTATTTCTTGGATGTCTAGCATACAATGGTGGGTCTTGACCACATGAAATCTTTTTCCATGTAATTCCTGTAAAATAGGCCTTTCAAAATATATCATGAGGTCTCTTGAGACCTCAGGTCAAACAGTGCAGATTGAAGCTTTCTTAGATTTTCTGGGAGATACATATGTTTTTATTGAATAAAATAGGGGAAATTTTTTTTATTAAATTGAAGTTCTCTTACAAAATGAGGAAAGTCTCCAACAAATTTAAGTGTAAAATTAATATTTTTTCATTTGAATTTTTTTATATTTTATTTCTTTGATTAAAAGAAAGTTGGTTGATTTTCCTATATATCTGATTTAGTAACACATGTCTACAGGATTGCTGATCAAGAGTGCTTATGTCTTTCAACCATTCTTTCCATGAGAAGTTTTTCTAAGCAATTGCAAAGAAGTGGAAATCCAATCTAGCAGAGTGGAAGTAGCTCTATTTGGCAGTTGCCATTTAATGTTCTAAATTTTCTAGTATTTGACATATGCTCAAGTTTCATGGAAAATTTCACTTGTAAGCCTGAGGCAAGATGTGTTAATGCAGAAGACTGTAAATTCATGAGAATGTTGCAGATAGCTTCATTCAAAAAAGGTGCATATATACCTTAGGGGCCTCAGAAGGTTTAGTGAATTTTCATGGGAGTGCCTTTCTGTATTACTTAATATATTTGGCATTGTGCTACCAAAAGTCAAGTAACTAGTAGTTTCTGTATAAGTATGATGTCACAGAATTTTGAATGATGGCATTTCTTTTATGTGAATTGCAAAGATTCTGCTGCTCAAAGCTGTACAAACCATTTTCCCCAGAATAATTGGAATCAAATGGTATCCATATTTGGAGTAGGTATGTAAAATAAATAGGGTATGGGAACATGGTAACTGCACAGTTCAGTTTCAGGTGGCTTCTTTTGCATCGTAAAAGGGCATTGCTTTGTAAGGATGACTCATGTGCAACTGTTTTATGTTTGGAAGCTTTATTTGCTTGTGTGATTTGTGTGAGCTTTAATATATTTTCAGGCTTATTTTAGAAAATGTCATCATTTGAACTAAATATTACTTGCCTTTGATAATGGAGGCTTTAAAGTTTGCTTTGTGTAAAACAATGTGCACAAGTCATGAGAATGGGCATCAGGGAATCCAGAGTCAGGTACATGTATTCTACCAACTTTTGGTAATTATTTTTTGCCTAATTAACCTAGAAATATATTTTACTTATCAGGCTCTTTTATGCTTCCATGTCATTAAATCAGTGTTGTTCACCTTTGTCTACATTATGTTTTTGCATGTTATTTACGTGTATATTGATATTTACATGTATTTACATGTATAAAGGGCATTTTATTTACATGTCAGGGTATGGAATGTGATGTGATGTTTCTAGTAAATACAGGAAGTTCATGCTTCATTTACTTTTGTTACTCTTATCCAACACTCCTGGAAAACACACTGCAATGGAGATGCTTTCATGCATTGAGAAACTGTCAATATTTGCTTCAATTGCTATGTCAAGGTATCTTTTGAGGCATACAGAGGATGTCTCTATCTCACTTGCAAAATTCCTTCATATTCATCAATAATAAACCAGATGAAACAGAATTTCTTATTGAAGTGATTTTGTGTCCCTAACTAAATGCCCTTGTTATTACAAAATACTGCACTGCATACAAAAACTCCCCATTACAGTGAAGTAATTTGTAGCCTTCTGACTTCATTTTAATGTTCTGCACAAAGTAAAATGCCTCAGGTAGGCAGATTTGAGCCAAGTGTCTGATGCTTTAGTTTTACCAACAGGCAATTATGGAATTAACTCTTTCCCAGACTTTCTTGACAAGATGGCTGGATTTCCCAACTCATTTCAGCATTTGTTTTAGCCAAAATTGAATTCAATATATGTAAACGAGGAGAAAAAAAACAGGGATGGTCTTTATTTCCAAGGCACTAGCATGGGAAAAGAATAGCTTTGCCCATGCAAAGAAAAGGACTGCAGGATGCACTGATGTGATTCAGTATTAACACCTTATCACTTCTGCTGTCTTTCTGGTTTTCATTGTCCTCTATGGTATTTGGACTGAGCTTGGTGCTTTCATATGAGATCCTAAACACGTGCAAAACTTTGGGATCAATATCCAGAAACAACCTTGCAAGTTTGTACCTCTCCAAAAATGTGCTTGGCTAGAAAATAAACTATGACATCCTGGAGAAACCTAGGAACAGCAAGAAATATGCAAGCATTCTCAAAAATGCAATCAAGTCATCACTACCTGCAGGATGGAAGCATTGATCCTCTAGGCACATTCCCAGCACTGCTAAAACCCCAAAATTACCTTAATTCAATGCATTTAATTACAATAGTTCAAACTAATTGGCACAGACAAGTAAGCAAATGGCACAAAATGAAGAGAAGGTCCTCTGCTCTATTAAGCTCAATCACATCAAATCATGAGATGATCAGATGAGGAAAATAGGATACAAAGACTTATTCTTCCATACTGAGGGAACTTTGGTAGAGTTTGTTTATTTTTTGGTATGGCAGTAGACCACTAAGCATCTGTCATTCCTACCAACCTCAAGTAAAAATTACATGTACAGCAGACATGACTTGCAGAAATTATGAATCGGTAACATATAAACTGACAATATGGGTGCCTGAAATTAATCCAGTCAAAGTCTATAACTACTAAGTTGACAGCTCTTATGATGTTATAAAGACTTTTATGTAGTTCCTTTCAGAAAATGTAAAGTTTCATTTTACTAATCAAGAGCCACATTAATGAGAATCAGCACAAACATGCACGTCTGCAGTGGGACTATAACATGGTGTGATGTTATGGTATTAGAGAGACTGCCAGCACAGCATCTCACATACAATAATGTAATTCAGAGAGGGATGGACGACAAGATCAAAAAGGTGCTGCAGATCAGGAAGACTCGTGGAAGATGTGTATGAGATCGTGTTCCTTGACAGCAATGACAAGCATGATGCTGGCACCAAGGATCATCCCACTCAGCTGCAATGCCAGTAATCCTAGTGCTGATGACACGGATTCTGTGTGTGGATCTGTTGACAGCTCTGGCAACTGAAAAATGAAAATCATGACAAATTATTCACTTTGTTTTTCATGAATTAAAGATTATTAGCTTCCACTTGACAAAAAACATAACCCCACACATCTTTGAGGGGTGTTCACAATTGCAGTGTCTTATGACTGTTGTGGTCTCTTATTACATATGTTGATATCCACTGACCCCTTTTTTCTGGGGGGGAAACAGGATGGTAGACTGCCTAGGGTGACTTATATTTAGAGAAATTTATGCAAATAATTTATGAAATTCCTTACCCCAACCATTAAGTTGCTATCTACTGACAGTAGCAATAACTACACAAGTGAGCAAATGATGGCACAAGAAATGCACAGACGACTAAAGTCATCAGGCATACTATAGTATATTATAAGATAAAACAACTTAAGTTGTTGTACATGCTCAAGATAATAAAAAAATAAGGAGTCAGCCTCCTTACCAGTCCTATGCACATTTACCATAAGTGTAATAAGGCTTTATATGATTTTGTAGAGGTTGAAATTTCACAAGCATTCACTAAATTTCTCCCAAAACTTGCATATAGCAAAATTGTGAAACATTACCAGTTCTTATGTGCACAGGCCAATGTAGTGAAGTTATTGATCATGATTGAAAACAAAACATTTCAAATGTATTACCTGCATTTTTCATCCAACCTATCAGTTCATATTTCTTTGAAAAAATATTTGGACAATACCCCATGAATATTTTTTGGAAGCTGGAACAAGTATATATACATTGCATGGCTTCCTTCAAAATGTAAACCATGAGGCACTGATTGATTGAATTTATAGAAGAGGATATATGAAACTCCTCACTGCCCTCCCAGGTAAATATGTCAAAAGAAAGCCTTTATAAGAATTCCACAAAGGTATTATTTAGAATTTCTACAAGTCATCAAGAAAATAGTGTATATAGTCATTTACTATGTATTTAAATATTTATATATATTGATAATTTGAAAGAATTCTCTAAACTAGGATGAACTCTATGAAATCACCTCTAGGAAGATCTTTCATTATATAGTGCCAACATTGAGTATTCCTTAGAAAGCTACAAAATTCTATTGCTATTTGTGTAGAAAACTTGAAGAAAATATAAAAAATGCACTGAAAAAAATTTATTAGAGACATTCAATAGTTCACCTGGGCCATCACTATATCACTCATGCATTTCTTCTCTAATTTTCAGCCAGGATGAGCAACAGTACCCAGGTCCATTCAGATCAATGAGATACATTTAAAATGTCAAAATCAGTGGAGCAAAACATACATTAGGCTTGTCAAAGAAAGATAAAATAATTATTCATAAAATACCTCCCTTTATTAGCTACACAAAGTTGTCAATGGTATAACCTTTGTTCACAGCAACTTGTAAAATCTGGCATATTTGTATGGTAACACCTTTTCCCACCTCATGCCCTAATTGGGCACGGGGGCTGAAAATAGCTTTTAATTATTTTAGGCATATTTAAAAAATAAGATAATTTATGAGGCACTTGTTCCAAAGCACAGGATCCATCCAGATATTCTCCATGGTAATGAATCAATTGTCCAATTACAGCTGATACTGTTATGAAAAATACTGAAATTGGAGGTTGACTTACATATTAGAGGATATTAAGTCTTTTTATGCAAGAAGAACCAAGAAAACTTTGTATAAAATAATATGGTACTGAAGGGCTAAAACCACTGTAAAATGACACTACCCAAAACTCTTTGGGACCTGCAAAGAATACCTAAGGTCTCAAACAACTAGAAGTTGCCAGGAGCCAGGATTGGAAAGTACAAGGAGTAGGTTTCCATACAAAGCTGGGTGAGAATATCCTGGATAGCTAAGACTAAGAAAATTTATTATTGGGTAGTGCCATTTTCATAGAACAAGAAATCTAGTAACTGACAGCCCCAGCATGATTCAGAAACATAGGACTGATACTTGAAACATATATCAAGGTTTCAAACACCTTGACAATATCTCTTGTAAGAGTTGGTGTCACTTTGACATTACAAGATATCTGACATATTGATATCAATGCATTGTCACAGTGTCTTGTCGGTGGCAGACTTACCATGTCAACAAGGGCAACATAGAGGAACATCCCGGCTGTGAGGGCAAAGATCCAAGAGGAAAAGGAATGGATGTTTCCAAGGAACACTCCAAATATCATGCCAAGGAAGCAAAGAATTGATGAGACCAGGTTGTAAAAAAGCGCCTGTTTCCCTGTCATCCCTGTCTTCAGCAACACCGCAAAATCACCTGCAAGAACAAAGACAGACTCAAGGAAGGCCATAGGGTGAGTTAAAAATCACAACTTTGCAATGCTAATAACTTGAAACTTCAAGTGATTTAAAATACATATTGTTACACCAATATCAATTTAAAAAACAACCCTGTCAAGTATTCCCCAGTTCAGGTGGTCAAGTGATTTAACCCTTTAATAGGGCTGGATAATCCAAGAGCAAATTGCTTGCATAACTGTCCTATCAAAGAATTTAGCTCCCTTCCTTTCACATGTCAGGCTTCCAATTATGGAACTATAGTGATAACCAAGAATTTATGTGGCAAGAAGCCCAGGCTTAAGTAGCTGCAGAAACATCAGTCAGGACATATACATTATAAAAAATAATTCATTAGCTTTGATATCATAGCCAAGAAGGACCAACAAGCACATTGATTAGATAGCTACTAGACCTTGTTATCTTGGGATAATGAATGCATATGATATCCCCAAAAATGTTGGGAGTATTTTGTGCATGCATGTATTGATATTCTGGATAGTTGCAGGAAAGGAGTTTTAACAACACATAGAAGCGATAGGAAAAATCAGAGGGAAGTAAAAGAAAGACAGACCTATTTCATGAGGGAGCTCATGGCAAAGGACAGCAATAGAAGTGGAGAAGCCAATGGCAAGACTGGATGCAAATGCAGCTCCGATTGCCAACCCATCACTGAAGTTGTGCAGCCCATCCCCAAGGATCACCATCCATGCCACTGCACTCATGCTCCCAGGACTGCCTCCTATCTTGTGGTGGTGATGGTGGTGGTGGTGGTGAGGTTCCTCACCTGATGGGTCTTTTGTGCCGTTCCCATTATCACAGTATGACGTCGTTACCATATCCATGGTTGCTCCTCCTATTTCTACAACTGGTATGTCACCTACAAAAGAAATAGTCCCTTTCTGACAACATCAAGCAACCTGTGCAGAATGCAATAGTGTTCTCTGGGTGTTCTCTATCTCAAGAAAGTTGATTTCTTGGCTACCACTGAAAAATTAAGCCAGAAGAAGGATCCAACTAGATTTTTTTTTTATTTTTTGCCTTCTGCAATAAATACTGGTCTGATTCCTTCCAAAAAACGTACATAATCCACCACCAGATATGTAACCAATCCATCATAATCCAACTCAGCACTACATGCATCTTCCCTGTTATTCGATGAGTGGATGTGAAGTTACAGGAAATGGTATCCCTTGAAAGCTTAGCCTGCTCAGGTGTTGAGACTGAGCAAAATGAATTATGGCAAAAACTCCCACCCTGAGATCAGTTTGTGTGGTCTCTTGGCATTATGAGGGATGTTTAATTTTTTAATTAAAAGTTTTCCCACTTAAACTGCATGAAAACTTACAATTAGTGATGTAAGCATACTCTTATGACTCAATTTTCACTTTTCACTCTAAAACACCCTTGACAGATATCAATGAGATTAAGTCATTCTTAAGTCATACATAGCAATCCAAGTTAATAAAGAAGTGCATTGATAGCAAGAAAGACCTGATGAGCTCATTTTGGAAATGAAAAGAATCCAAAAAGACTCATATTGGTGCCATTACTTTGAAGGTGTTCCATTGAAGGGTCTTGGTAGTCATCAGGAGGAAGAAACGTCTGCATCTGGTGATGATCCTGGTAGCAGGGGACATGGCTGCTGTTGTTGTTCCCTGCTTGTGGCTGAATGTGACTGGGAAGAATGCATGAATCCTCCTCCTCATAACATGTCTTCCCCTCCTCTCTCTCATCTTTCCCTCCATTCTCTGAAAAGACCATATTTGCAGGGTTTTCCAAGAATGAGAAATCTCAAGCACTTGGGCACCTTCTCTTCATTAAAGTGACACAGAAAGTGATGTTCACAGTTCACACTACAGTCATGTTCTTTATAATGCTTCCTCTAGACAAAAGCAAATGCATGTTATTGATCATTTTACTGAATGTATGAAGTGAACATTTTTGGGAAATAAAAGGAAATAAGATATGAAAGTTTCATTGTGTTTCCATCTGTTAAAATTACCAAGAGAAGACTTTCATGTGAAATCATTCATTGGGAAAGCTAAAGACTGTATATGGGAATGAGAAAGCTTTGCTTCAAACTGCAGCAGAAGCCAATATCATGCCTGGATGCTCCCTTGCTTCCTCAGCTGAGACAGAACTCTGGAAGAATCTGAGAGGATGAAAGATCAGGGAGACATCACTACCTCCCTGATCCCCCCTCCACTCATCTCTGGTAGGATATGTGCCTATCTCCCTTCCCTGTAGCAAATGGTATCACTCCACTCAGTAATTTTCTTTGCTCAAGAAAGGGACAGGAAGTTATATTTCTAAATTAAAAAATTGCAAGATTGACAGTTACATTTTTTCATCTGTGACCCTCAACATAAAAATACTTAATTTGGTTTCCACTTGTGAGCAGCAAGAAGAATGATATGGCAATAAATCAATTAAATATACCCTATATTTTAAGTTAAAATGTGTTCTCTCTTAATACTTCTCTAAAACACTCATTTTGTGGTTTGGAGTTTTAATTGAAAAATACCAAATTTAAGTCATGAAATAATTCACAAAATAAATTCCAAAAATACCAGTAATGATTCATTTAAAACTGAACGAATTGCTCATGCATGGAGATATAAAGAAAGTACTTCCATGTAGAATGAAGCACAGGCACATATTGTTGACTTATAATTGAATTTAAAAAATGATAAAACACCAATCATTTGTAATTTCATTAGGGTTTAGAGGATTTCAGATATTGGGTGAAGCTGCTTGGCTGATTTCAGGACTGATCATGTTGAAAGGATTCTGACCAGATTCAAGGAGATCCTGGAAGCAGAGGCTGTATGCACTGAATCGTTGCTGTCGGGACAGCTTCTCCCCAATGTACTGCTCAGGTGATGTTGTCGAACATGGAAGGTTGTGACGGTGATGGTGGTGGTGTCCATGCCCTACATGACCATGCTTCTTCCCTGCAGCATCTCCCTAAGACATAAAAATGCATTGAACAATCAACAATTAAAACAGAATAATGAAAATCTATCTCTATCTAAAAAAAACTAATGAACTTGGAACATCAAATCAAATACATGGGTTCTGTGGTGCCTCCTCTATCCACAAACAGTGACAACCATCAGCAGAAATGACATCTAAGTGTATGGGAACTGGTGCTAGAGAGCTTGGTAAATACAAGCCCCATCCAGTGACCTACCATCTACATCTATGATGGTAACCCCATCTCATATTCACAATGGCTACTGAAGCCATAGTCTCATATTATTCCATGCATGAACAGACCAGGTTTCAAATGAGAGAAGCAAAGGCCAATCCATCCCAGTTTCTTCTTAGATCACTTTTAATTGTCTCCCATTGTTGGCCAACAGCATTCAGTTGGGACCTGGGAGGCACAATGTTGACCAGGTTCTGGTCCATATACTAGTATGGAGACCCAAAATAGACTTTTCATGACAAGAATAAAATGCAACAAAAGTTAAAGTTGAAGAAATATTTCCAGCATGATATTTCAGTGCATGGACTGCAGTTTTTACAGCATTTTTATAAATCGAGTGTTACTTACTGAACATGAATTTACTGAAATGGTTTGGCTTAAAAAATGAGAACTATCCAGAGACCTTGTGCAACAGAAAAATCTGAGACTAAAGGGCATTCTGTAAAAATCTGGTGTGGCATCCTCAACAGGTATCTTTGAGATTTGATTTTGATGCTATCCTATGAAACCAAATCTATAGGAAGATCCATGTATAACATTGACAACCAAGGCCTCTCTTGCCATTATGTTGTTGATCAAATTAAATTATTATGTTAATACAACTGCAAAATTATGCACAGAATCAGAGTCTTATACATGGCATCAATCCACACTGGGGTAATGTCAAAAGTCACAGGTTAGCAGGCCTTCAGGTGGGATGGAAGTGTAGCATGCAGCAAATGAAGAATGGCTATATATTTTCAGAATCGATACTTCATACACTAAGTGGAGATTACAACAGAGATGTTCCCATGGGATTGAGAAGTCATTCTGACAACATACAAAGGAATTTGATATTAACTATGAAGAGAGGTCTACCTGGTTGCTCTTGGCTTCCTTGCAGGTGCTGACCATCCCAACAGCTCTCTCAGTGAGGAAGAACAATGCCATACCGCCCAAAGTGGCCAAGGCCTTGTACACCACCTCCATCTCATCCCTAGCTCCCCTTTCACCTCCCTCATCCCTATGGAGGAGGGGCAGGGGTTCCAAGTGCTCCTCGTCCTCGTGGGGATGCACATGTCCACTGGAGAATGCCTGCAGGATTGCACCGCATTCACATGAACAGGAAAATAACTGAGCACAACATCACTTGTATCATCTTGTATCATGTATTCATCAACTTCATACTAATTCAAACACCTTATCATTTCCTAGGTACGGAAGGGCTGTTATAAATGATATTTTCAATTTCTTCCTAATTTGAACAAAGTTGCATGAGCATGTATATCTCCCCTCCCTAGTTCTGAGTAAACTCTGGAAAAATTAAGGAAGGTTATGCTGTGATAAGAAGCGAAGCCAGTTCCAACGCTAGGATGTAACTAAATTCTCATCCCTGAGTAATACATTTTCTGTTTTACTATGAACCTTTTCAATTTCAAATGAAATTAGCAAAATAAAATAAGTTTGAAAAAAAAGGATAGCAAACTTCATTAAAACTTTGAAAAAGAAAAGAGCGTAAAACAGGAAATCGATAAATAGACAGACATGAGGAAGGAGATGAAGGACGGCATCGCCGGTCAGAGACCCGACAGCCATGGCGACAAGGAACTGGAGGAGGTGATGGTAGAAGACGCGATGCATAATGGGGATCACCAGCACTCCCAGCACTCCGCACAGACTGATCACCAACACGCTCACCAAGGAGCACATCCAAACTGCAACCGATCAACATTCACCAATCAATTCATTTACTAATGAACAGACGGCAATAACGGTTCTAATATGTAAGATCAATCGCGAAGGACCGATTATATTCCAATACCCAATGCATCCATGAAATTAAGAGATACTTGTTTCAGTTGTGTTTCCATTAATATAAATACTTATCCATGCTTGTATGATATGTCGCTTTTAATAGCATAAAAAAAGTATTCATTTCCAGCATTTTACTTTTCCCCTGAAAATATCAAGTTAATCATCATAAGTATGAATTAACTTGAACGTCAAATATGTTACAATATTATCTTAATAATTTCATAATTTTACTCCTTTCTATTGACTTTCCTTTCCATCGCAGGCTCCAAGAGGAAACCGATATCGAATCACGAAATCCCCCGTTAGCCAACCACAGCGTACGTCTGCGGTGAAAAAACCAACGCTTCATACCGTGACAAACCCTATCATTCGTTTTTACTGTTTTTCCTATGAACAACAATTTTTTTCCCACAGTGGAAACTAATCGACGGTGACTTGCGACGCAACGCCCCCCCCCCCCCTCTCCCCCCAGACGAACATACCCATGGATAGATCGGACGAGTCCTCGTCCGCATTCCCTCCGGAATCATGTCGATGGGGACGGCCTTCTCGACACACACTTTGGTCCAGCTCGTAGACGATGGCCGGGCAGAGGTGAAGGAAGTTCACGTACGAGATCACGTCGGTGTCCGGCGTCAGCCCGTAGGATTCGTATATCTCCTCGGGGCTCAAACACTGAAATCCAGGGGAGGAAAATACCTGATTGGAACGTTTCGCGATTCACAAACGAGAACTTTACGTACCAATCACTGAAGATTGGCGGAAAAAACTACGGCGAAGGCAGTGGATTTGTTTTTGTTTTTTTTTTTGCAAAGTTTTCTTTTATTGATCTCAGACGGACTATTAGGTAGACGGACTATTATTAGACTAGACGGTTCATACTGAGTGAGATTAGCCAAAATCTTTTCGAAAGATTCCCTTTAACTTTCCGAAACATGAAATGACAACTTTCCTTTCCTTTGCACCCAGGCAAAAAGCAATATGCAAACGCATTTTTTTTCCCAAGATTTTTGTTTATATAGAAGCGCTAAAGCATACGAGATATGCGGATGACGCTTATCCATGAAACAGGCAATTATCATTTAGATGACTAGATAATTAGTTCCTGGTATTTCGGCCATTCGGTGCAATCTGCGTGGGCTTCACCAAGTATCGAGAGTAACAGGGAAGTACAACAGGCGAAACTGAATGTTAAGTTTCGTCGATGTCCCACAGAAGAGCTATATCCAGCAAAAGATGAATGAGTCTCTCCTCGAATGATATGCAATAATTGAGAAAAGGGAACGCGTTACGGTAACTATATTAGTAACTTGCGGTTTAGCGAGAAAAACTTTGCCATAATTAACCGTTTCCAATTCTTTTTTTTTTTAGCGAAAAAGGAGCGATAGCAATAATCTCCATTCTGCCTACTTCCGGCTCGTCTTTCAAGTTCATGGCAAAACAATGACATCTTTTTCATGTCGTTTTTCATGACATGTCGTTGGTTTCAACCATTCCTATAGACATCCTCCACTGCAGTCCAACGAGCAGACCGAAACGGGGTTGCGCAACACTCAGCAACCCGGTAAACAATGAACCTGCAAGGAAAACCCTTTACACCTTTCAACTCATCGACAAACAACTATTCCGCCACGCATGAACGAAAGAAGAAACGAAAACGAGCACGACGCACGACAGACGCGAGCCGAACGCACAGCTCCTGCCATCCAATCGTCACTTCACGCGACAGCAACTTCACTTAGTTACACTCTGTCAGCATCAAATTTTACTGGCAGCTAATTACTACTTTAACCAAATACTTGTAACTGTCACTAGTTACTTTTAGGAAGTAACTTGCCCATCATCGCTCTCTTTCCGATTCCCGTTGACCACCGTCATCGACACACCGTCACCGTCACAACTATCCTCTAAAAACAATGCTAATGTTGACTCTGAACCAACCAACCAATCCTAAAGGTTTTTTTTTTTTGAGGTCTCACCCTAACTTTTGGGTTCATCTCCAAGTGGCCAGTTGAGAGCTCGATAATATCCTTAGTGCAAAGCTAATACTTCAAATTGTATAATATAATAAATAATATTTCGTATTTTAGCTCGTATTTCCTCCCGGAAAGAGGCCGAAGTAAAATTTAACTAATCGCACAAGATTTGGATCAGTCGCCCAAGGTAGCTTTCAGGTGAACTGATCTTCTGAATAACAAAAGGGCTGACATGTCACTCGCTACCCCATGTTGTCATCAGGACCTAGTGACCTATCTGCGTAAGAGAACATCACTTTTCTGTTCCTTGTTTTGATGCTGGAAAAAAAAATTAGGCTCCAGTGAAAGTGCCAGACGCAACGAGATGGCCGAGATGACCGCATTTCCTGAAAGCTGGAAAGTCGTTCAACGCTTTCCATGATTCATTTCACTGCAATTCCAGCACGAAATCACATGACCGTCGAGGAAACGCCCTAACCAGATTTTTTCCTCCGCAGCGACTGCAAGCAACAACGAAGTACAGCCTCAAACGCTGCTATAGCATGCACCTCTTCGTAGTTCGAACCACGCAGCACCGACAGATCGCACGATGCAGAAGCTAAAAGAAAAAGGACGAGTGACAGAAAGTACATGCATCACTTAGACCAGACCGGGAATGAATGAATGAGAGGAGAGAGAAAATGTCCCGAGGGGATGCATGTGGCCAGAGATAGCATAGAGAGGGAAAAAGCGAGAGAGGCTCTCGAGCCGGGGGTCCCTCAGTGGGTCACCCTCGCTCCGCTCCGTCTCACGGGTTGGATCCCCACATAACCCAGGTCTTTCATGCTGTGATCGTCAGACGCTCCGCGTGCACGCAGTGTAACATGTGAGGGGAGGAAGAAGACGGAGAAGATGCACTGGCCATGGAACGGAGGGGCCGGAAGCTCCTACGAACGGGTGAAACACCATACCTCGGACTGCTGCACTCGCCTCGTCACCTTCCATCAGGTCAATTCATAATACGCCGGATGCACGGGCATTTACTAACGCGATGGTAGTGTTCGTATAAATTGCGCGTTATTTCCTTTAAAGATTTATAACGTGCTAGAGATAACATGCTATCAGAGCCTGTACAGTCGGCCTCATGACATGATCATCAACTCATCATTACATTACTCATCGTCTGCTCCTTGGGGATATACCGCATGCAAACGCTGGGCGATTCGTCAGAGTCAACTGAGAACTAAAAATCTATCGCACATCATCTGTCTCAGTGCTATTTGCTGTACACATTACAAGGTACAGTCAAATGAAAGCGATACAGTGTTCAGTTCAGTGTGCCTTGGTGTGTCTAATGAATCTTTCATTTGTCTGTACCTTGTAACTATATGTTTAGCTGATAATATTACATAGACTGCTTGATGAAATAAGTTATGTTCGTTTTCCCACCCATTCCTTTATTTCTGTTTAACAGGAACTTCGTTACACAGTTCCATTGTGAAAATGAAAAAGGCCATTTCCGCAAGTAAGCTTCTACATCATTGATGTTGCTGGGCATGAATACAACCAAGCCCTAACATAGCATTATAATAAACCGGCATAACGTGCCATTGCCCTCCTCGAAGCGAGGGAAACGGCTCACGAGAGTAGCATTTTTTTCCCCCTAGAACAGCATACCTTCGACCTCCTGTGCAAACCTCGTCACGTCAAGGTGGCATCTTGAAAAAAAAAACCAAACACAGAGGTCTGGTCTCCCGAGGTCTTTCCTCTGCAACGATGAGGAACGCACGCCACATGCACGAATGAAAAACATAACGAGGTTTCCGCTTTCCGCTTGTGCATACAACATACAAATCTGCTTCGTCACGTGAGAGGGATATTGAAATTGCTTGGGACGGGAAACTTGAAGTAGTTCCCGCGAGAGATGGGAAAAACGGGCTCGAGTGGGATACAATATAGCTTTTTAAACTTCAATGCATTTTTTTTTTACTCTGGACAGGATGCCACCGAGGACATGGAATCGTTTTGCGATTCGCCTCCAAATCAATCTGATCCGATTTTTTTTTTAACTTGGTAAAATGCCCAAGCGCATGACTCTGGAAAGTTTAGCTCGAGAACTTCCAAGTTTTCATTTTCAATTTTCTGAGATCCCTAACGGCATGTCTCGATACCAAGCTGAAAAATGGATTTCAGGGCGAAATCTGAAGGAAAAAAAAAAAAGAAAACACGTCTCGCACCGTCCGCGATATCTTAACGGAGATTATGGTTATAATATGTCTCGGGATACAAAAACTCTTTGATGTTCACAGTGATAAGAAATTACACTATGAAGAAAGTGTCGCACAACATATATTTATAGTATAGATTGGTAGATGTTACCATAAATATTTACCGGTAGCTGTGCCGGCTCGTTTCCTCGCTTTCCCATCAAGAAACTCTGTTACCAGAGCTTCGTTAATGACGCAAACAATGCTTTCTTCGAGCAGAAAATACAGGAGAGAAAGTGGTTTGGTGTCGTAATTATCCAGGTAATTATAAGTGTACCTGTTAACACTCTAAAGGAAAGATTTCGATAAATACGTAATCGCGTTGAAAGGCCATTGAACAAATTTGGATTCGCCTATCCATTATTTTTAAATGAAGTGATGATTTAAACGTATTTATGAACATCCCAAGCCTTTGTAAAGGAGAGGGGGGGGGGGGGTAGTTCCAACTTAAAAATCGGTTAATAAATAAAAGATACTCGCACTTCCGCTCTCCTTCGATATTTCACTGAATGTGTTTGTGGAATCACCATAATGATTCGAGATGTACATCATACAAAACCATATGTACCCTCATATCATAAAAACCTTCTCTTTTCGCGGGCGAAAGTGGCAAGGAACAGTACAGGAGGAATGCTTGAGCGGCCTTCATATCGCGGAAGAACAAAGGGAATGCCTCTGGGGTCCAAGGATACCTTTTCGTATCTCTTCCATTACTTCCACTTCTGCCGTGTATTTCCGTCGTGGGGGAACAGCGATGACAGACTCGCTGTTGCGAAATGGCATGCAGCTGCTTCGAAGGAGCGAGGAAGGAGAATGCACGAGGAAAATAAAAGAACCTTATTGACTTTTGGAACTGTTTTCACAGGAAGGAGATATCTTCCTGGAACTTTCCCGTAGCCCTTGGTCCGGTCAGCTTTCGATTGAAAAATGCATCGAGTCCGTAGACTCCGGACCGACTCTGCAGCTAACACGCCACTTTCTACGCTGCAGAATCACATTTCAGGGTTAATTCAGCTACCAGGGCTAGGAGAGGAAAATTATTTACTTGATTAAATTAATTTAATTTCTATTCATTACTTATGACTTTAAACAATTATATCACCTGTAATAATAATAATAATAAATATATATAGTATATAGCATATTTCTCAGAGAAAACAACATGCTCGAGACAAAGGTTCCAACGCGAGAATAACATTCAATTTTTCAATTACTCCACCCTGGCTCATTAATTTTTCATTGCCACTGTCACCATGTCAAAGGGAGATATCTCTTCCCAGTAGTTTCGAGAGTGAAGTGAGAATGAGCGTGCCCTTCGGCCTCCTTTTTCCTCTTCTTGTTCTTTTTTTCTTTTTCTTTCCTCTCTCTCCTGACCTCAATCTTCCTTTTCTCCTCTTCCCCCCCCCCCCCCTCCCCTCCCCTGGAGAGGAGTGCGTTTTTCTCGTCTCAGTGTCCTCCGTAGTCTTGCCTTGTCTATGCTGCATGCGTGACTCTTTCTCCTCCTGGATATGGGTCTTCAAATTGCGCCTCCTGTCGCCGTGAGTTTTTTTTTTCTTCTTCAGAATCAGTGGAATTCACTGTTAGGATAAGAAGTTTTAAATTTGGCGAAAAGGACATACCAGATGCAAACTCGGAATTTTAAAGGGAATCGGCACTGACATTTTTTAACGAATAGGTAGGTTAGGTCAAGGAGAAAGGAAGGAAGAAATCAGCATTCAAATTCTTTGGAAATTGAATTATAAAAAATTGCACAAAAGCCATTGTATTCCTTGTGAAGGCCTCCTCGTGTTGCTTCCTGCAGAAGGTCGAATTTTGTCCTTAAAAGCACAATACCATCACATAGGTCTTCCTCAGAGGATGCTGGGAATCCATACAACTTTTGCATTTAAATTCCCAGCAGAGACGACAAACGTTAATAATTCTCTGCTTTTCACCTGATGGAGAAAGGGTCCTACTACATATGGAATTTACCCTCTCTGCTCGGTGGTCGCAAGAGCCTCGAGATGTCTACGGGTCACCAGCAACCACCGAGCGAAAACGAGAGGAGAGGGCTCATGAAAACGAAAGGAAAAAACCAAAGCCAGGAAGGACGAAGCAATAATCTTTTTCTTCTTTTTCTATTTTTTTTTTTCAAGAGGGCGTTTCAACTTTTTGTTTCTCGAGATTTCTAAACTAAAACTTAGATTTAAGCAGAGTGGGTCTTCCATTGATACTCAATGAGACCGCGCAACTCCCCATCGTTGACATTCATATGGAAATAAAATGTCTATCAGCGATTCCTCAAATTGTTTTGCCTTCCCGCACAGCTCTCCACTTCTACTTCAGCATTTTCCTACGATTAAGACCAGTTGAGCAATGTGAAAGAAAGCTTCAAAACTGAAGTATATGCGCTTCCAGGGATGAGGAGCACGTGTCACGATGAATTATCATGTATTTTCTGCGGCAAAAAAATTAAAATATAAAAATGAAAAGATATTGAGTTATATACTGTATATATGTCGTATGCAAGTTGACCTTTTCATGCAAACTAAACTTGCATAAAATACATACAAAATACAAGTATACCTTGCAACTCGAACCCGTCTGATTTTCCTCATGCATGTTAACTTGCATTCTTTCTTACCCACACGATGGACTTTGGTGTAAGTTCAGTTGGAATATCTGAACCCCTAAGGACACAGACGACTTTTACCGAGAATGCAATGGCGCCTGGCCTTGGGAAAACGATAAGGGGGATGTCTTCATCCTTTCGCTTTCACCGGCATATTCTCTCATCTTGTTCGGTGCGATAGGAGCGAGGGTGAACGTTCTCGTTCTTCAACAGCTTTAGTCTGATTAATCAGTGATAATGGGTAGGAAAGCGCAGGTCAATGATTATATGCTGGCGAGCGATGCATAAAAAATAAAACACTAAAAGTGCAAGTGCGAAGCCAATAATACCCGGTGCAACTCTCGATGGAACGTGTAATGGACGTGTTCCAACAAATGAAATTTAAAAAAGGTGTGCTTTGCAGAGAGGCTTGAATACAGGCATTGACAAAGTTATTACAAATTCTTTCATTATGAACAATTTGACATGAAGCAGTTTCTTCATTTTATTCATAACTGTGATCAACTAATTCATTTCATGGTGTTACAAGCTGGCTCGAAAATAAAGCAAAAGCCGGTAGCCGAAGGCTATCATTATTCTGGCCGAGACGAAGTGCTTCTCTGAACTTGCCCGAAAATGTGCAATCCAGGTTAACACGAACAAGGGCTTGCCCATGCAAGTTTAACCTGCACGATGAATTTACCATGCAAGTTTAAGAGTTTTTCCATCATGATAAAATGATCAAAGCTTCCTAGAATCTGAAGAAGCAGTAAGCGAGCCGAGTAAAACCGACTAACAGATAATGCCCTATTCCGGGTACGGGGGGGGGGGGGGGGGGGTTAATGCCAACTGCAGCTGTGGGGGGGGGAACATTTTCGGGCAAGTTCAGAGAAGCACTTCGTCTCGGCCAGAATAATGATAGCCTTCGGCTACCGGCTTTTGCTTTATTTTCGAGCCAGCTGTGGGAGAGAGATAGGCCTTTGCCACAGCCTAGCCCTATTTCCATGGTTCTACATTTGCCCCGGTCGTTTGAACATAGCGATTTAGGAAAGTGGGGTCATTCGGGGTAAACGTGATTGCGATTCCGCAC